TGCCTCAAAGTGTACTTTGTATATAACTTACATGACATGCTTAATATTGATCCTACATGGGAAAAAGATCACAGGGAGAAAAGTTTCCTTCTTTTTTTTTTTAAGTGAATTTGGCTCCTTACATTTTTATTTCCTTAAAAAATGTAAACCAAATCTCATCATTTTAGAGAGATAAAAGTGTTTTAATTCATCAGTTACAAATTTAGCACCACATGATAACTTTAAAAATAAAAAAATTTCAGCTATATATTAATTAGAACTCAGTCAATCAATTAATTCACTTCAATCAAACAATCATACTTGAACTATTGTTGGAAATTCTATGAATGAGTTCAATTCACAATATGAAATACTTTTCTGAAGTGTGTACAGTAGGGCAGTCATAAGAAAGGAAAGTTCAAATTCCTTTGACTGCACCGTCTAAAAAGACGCCATTTGCAATATAACTAATATTCTGTAAGCGTTAATAATAATAATAATAATATTGAAGTATAATATGTAAGTTAAAAATAAATAATAACCCCCTGGTCCATGGGCTGCAACACAGAAGTCATAGAAATGCAAGCTTTATGCACTTTAGACTTTCTAAATGGGGGTGGGCTGTGTACGCTGGCAAGTTTAAAGTTGGAGGACTGAAAAATAAATGTGGATTTAGGAATTTTTTTAATAAGGCAAATTAGGATCAACATCCAGTTAAGAAAAAGCTCCTTGGGAATATATTATTCATTAGTAGAAGCTACTAGGGATTTCAAATATTGTCCATAAAGTGAGATTTCACTGTTCATCTATACATATTTAATTTATACAAAACAAATAATTCACAAATTGAGTTACATAATAAAATATTCAATAGTTTCAGATATATGTAGAAAGCAAATATATCAAATATATTGATGATAAAACTGTATGTGAAAGCTCTCGCTCACTCATCACTAATTCTCCCACGAAGTTAGAAGATAATGATATAAATAGAAAAATGAGACAAATACAAAACAATTTTCCAATATTTTGTAATTGTTGACAGTAATGCTAAATAAAAAGGAAAACAAAAAATTTCAATTTGGTATTTAGTAATTACCCCAATGAAAGCTAAGCTAAGAGTCTGACACAAACAGAAAACTTGATATTTCATAATAATCAGGGCAATTAGGGGTTATTAACCTAAATAATTTCCCATTATTTCATTTTGCAATTATCACATTAATCACTCCAATTGACAGTAATGTTAAATAACCAGTTCTCTCCAATTACTAGCAAGTGTTTGGACATCATCACTGATTCCGGCTCTCACTCTATTAAATTGCAAAAAATCGAGTTTGAACAGGGAGACCGACAGGCTGCCAATTCGCACTAAAATTCTAAGTCCGAAGAGACAAAGCAATGCTGCCTAATACATAAGGTACTAACATAAAGCTATAAAGCATTGAATTTATGAAGGTGGAAAACAAGGTAGTCAAGAAACCTCAAGGCGGTTAGTTCTTGTTGACGAACTAACTGGTTGATGCTGGTAGTAAAGATCAAAAATTTCTAAACAAGTTTCAATCTAACTAATCTTCAATCTAATAGGGGTAAACGCTGATTAAAAATTATGGAAGATAAAAAGCTTTCAAGAATAAAAAATATGAATAAAAGTCAATTAAATTACTCACAGTTTCATCACTAGCACAGTAACTCAGCACTTTATGAGGATCTTCACAACCTCCATAAACTGTACTGACACCTGAGTATTCAATTTTAAAAGAAAATGATTTAATTTAAAATTAAGATGGGACAAATAATATAAAAAAATACTTTTTATACATTAAAAAGTTGTAACATACAAAATAATGACAAAAACTGATTATCAAATTAACTCTTGTACTGATTATCAAATTAACTCATTGTACTGATTGCTACATTTACTGAGTACATTTTTAATGAATTCTTAAAAACTTTGTAAATTTGAATATATTTGTATGCCTAGTAGAAAGAAGAAAAAAAATCTAAATCTGTGTTTTTTACATTTCAGTTTTAATATAGTCTTATAATAATGGTTATACATAATTAGGGCCCTATAAATCATGCGAAGATGCGGAAACCTGCATAATTCACAATTATCCGCATAATTTACAATTTTCCGCGTAATCGCAGCATATGTGTAGAATTTTTATTTTTCAGCAAAATGTATTCGTTTACCAGATAAATTTCTCCTTAAGGGATTTTTTTTCAATTGAAATATATCTTCTTTTTCAATTCCAAGAATCTTTTTGGTCAGGTGGTCAGATCTTTCCAAGAATCTGACAGTGGTGGACAAATTCACAGGAAACTTTAAGAAATTGTTCAAGCATTGTCCTGCAAGAAAGCGCCGTTATTTAAAGTTTTTAACAGATGACAATAAGAAAGCTAAACTTTGTCCAGCACCAATAAAGACACGATGGAATTCCTGGTTTAAATCAGTGCAATATCATGCTGAATATTGTAATGTTTACATAGAATTTTTTAGCAGTGAAATAAATCTAACTTCTGACACTGCTTGTCTCAATCAGTGCAAAGTTTTGGTGGAAAGCAAGTACGTTTGCAAAGACTTTCAGTTCATTGCAGCACATGCTCAGGTATTAATGGATACTCTTCTCTTTTTCGAAACATGTGGTGTATCTATTCACAAAGCTTACAATAAGATTTTTGATCTGCGGTCTAAACTTCGATGTAATTCTCAGGCATCATACTCACGAAAAGATTCACGCAACATATTTCTTCAAGAAGTGTTTCACAAAACAATTCCAAAGTTGAATACTTACTACTCTCCAGAACTAAACGTATTCAAAAAAAGCAGGTCCAAGTTTAATCAACCTGCATTAAACTTCATGAAAGCTGCTCGAGTTTTCGATCCAGAACAAATAGACAATCTCAATATTGAAGACGACGATGTATTCAAGAATATTCCAGGAATGAGTGGTCAAGATATAAAACTCGAGTATGCTGCTTACAAAGAATATGTAAAGGAATGTTCAAACCAGGAGTTAATTAGATTCTGGAATTCAGAGGTAGTCTCAGAGAGATTTCCAGAACTTACAAAAAAAGCAAGACAAGTGCTCTCAGTGCTTCCTAACTCAGTAGATTGTGAAAGAGCTGTATCCTGCTACGGCCAAATTTTTTACAAAACAAAGACAGAGTTTGAAAGAAAACGCAGCTTCTGGACTAACTTCTGCATGCATAATTTTTAAAAGACACCGCATCCTTGCCGCATAATTTTTAAAAAATTTCCGCATAACTTATAGGGTCCTATACATAATTTTCTAATAATGGTTAATGATAATAGTCTTTTAGTACAGTTCAGTGCTTCAGTTTCAATAAATAACTAAATTTTCAATGTTTTCTTGAGAAAAAATCAATTTCAGCTGAACACTATTTTTCACTTCCAAATAGAAAATTTTAGATGTGTATTTGATTTAAATTACACAAAAATTAAACTAATAAAAAACAGAAGGCCCTAAATTTACGATTATAAAAATGTAATATTCTTTTAAAAGTGCAGAAAAATTTAAGTGAGTAAAATAGTTAAATCCAAAGTAACAACTTCAAAAAATTAGTAAATAAGATTTATTTATTAAATAAAAACTATGAGTGAGGTTATAAATTTGTAATATATGCATGTAACATTTTTTACAATTTTAATTATTTATTGTTTCATATAATGGTTTGTATACAAAAATATCTGATAAAAAGATAATTATCTTTACTTTCTCAAAATAATAAATTAAAATTTATTTTACATTGCATAATTGACCTAAGATTTGCCAAAAAAAGTAGAAAATGTAATAATTTAAGAAACACTATATAATGTAAATAGTATGTAATATGTATACAATGTAACTATAAGTAGCCCTGTATAATGCAACTTACATAATGAGCCCTTAAATAAAATAATCATAACTTTCCTTTTAATTGTACATGCCATATGGATGGCAATTGGTTTGCAAAATAAATTTGCTAAGCATAATTTATTTTATAGTTTATGTAGCAAAAATCCTTTATATGCAAAAGAAATGCAAAAAAAAAACATAATTAATTGTTGCAAGAACAAATTAGAACTATTGTTGTGGTAGGATTGGTCTTCTGAAATATTGAAGTAGGAGAGTATTATTTAAATACCCAAAGTTATTTACAATGCATGATTGGAAGATGTTAAAATTTATTACTAATGAAAAAATTGACTAATATAATAAAAATCTCTTTTAAAGGCCCACAAAGTCAAATTTATACTTTAAACACAACATATCTGTAACATAGTACATATAAGTGAATCAACAAAGTTAAAGTAAATATTTTAAATATTTCAAGTGAACTTACATATAAAACCCAAACAGATCAGCCTTATAGCAGATTGCTTGACAATGTTCTACAACAAGCATATAAATGAGAGAAAATAATCTATGGATTGTATGAGTATTTTATCTCTGAGCAACTATGCTAAAAAGTTCATTTAAAAATGAGAAATGAAATAGCATATGTCATTGTCAGTCTTATGTTTCTGATTTAATACAGTTCCAACCTTTTGCATTTGACTCATAAATTGCCTCAACATAATCAGTAAGAATAGCCAAAGTATTTTTTTAGCATTTCAACATAATTTGAGATAAGATTATATTGCTCACTTACACAGATTATTTTTTGAAATATTAAAAGGAAGAAAAAAAAAGAAGAAAACACCATATGAGCATGAAAATTTTTCGTATAAATGTGCTGAAAACATAAAATAAAACATTATTCTGTGGAACTTAACTAACATTTTTTTAAAGTTGTTAAAAATGCTAAAAATAGTTTTGGACTAATTATTTCAAACATAATAAAATCATTTCCCCAATCACTAATAATGATGAGATATAGAATCACTATATCTACACAGTACTTAAATGATAAAAAGTTGTCTCAAATGGCAAAAAAAAAAAAAAAAAAAAAAAAAAAAAAAAAAAAAAAAAAAAAATTNAAAAAAAAAAAAACTGCTTAAGGCAATAAAAATTGAGGATAATCAAAATTACTCATAGCAGACATTCTTTTTATTAATCAACCATGAGTTTAATTCAATGGTAAAAATAAATAAAAAGGGCGGGAAAGTTATTTCAGTCAGATTATTTCAATTACAGCATAACATTCTGAATGTAAGAAGTTCAAATTAGTATTCATAACTAACCAAATCCATCCATTTCAGTGAGCAGAGTAGATAAAACCTTTTCTGCTACTCCAACCACTTTAGAGCCAAATTCTCGCCTGCCAACAATACAATCTATTTCATCAAGGAAAATTATACTTGGTGCACAAAGCCTGGCTTCAAAAAATAACTAGAAAATAATTAACATAAAAAACAAAAATTTGAAAACAAATATCTCAATATCTGAGTAGGCATTTGACATAAATCAAAAATTAAACAATATTTTAAAAATGCTAATTTAAATTTAAAATAGTAATAAACAATTTAATTTATGAATATAAAATTTTCATTTTCATAATATTCATTGAATAAACTAAATTTGGACAAAAATCAAGATAAAATTCGTATCAGTGAAAGTAGTTCCTCCGATACTGCTCAACATGTCTGGGTGCGTAGCCAAATTATTCAACAAAAAATAAGCACCCTTTAAGCACTTTTAAAGCACTCAAAAAATAGTCTTAAGCACTTTAAAAAAATATAATTAGGCAGGGTTGGAAAGTTTTTGACAATTAATGGTTGTTTTAACCGTCATGCAAAAAAAACTTTTGGCATTGTTTTTGACAATTGTCAAAAATCATGAAATTTTGAATCATGTAAAAAGAATGGCGTTTTCATACGCTACGGATTGGCAATATGCCGAAATAGATTGGGGTTAAATTAATTGTGAAAACGTTAAATAGAACAATGTGAACTGTGTCTTTTTGCATAGTTTGAAACGAAAATCATTACAGTAAAGGAAAAATCTCATTTTGAAAAAGGGCAAATTAAGCACTTTTTAAAAACATCCAATGAAAAAAGCACCTTTAAGGGCTTTTAAAAAACAAAAATCAAAGATAAGCACCTTTTAAAAAAGCTACGCACCCTACTGCATGTCTATTCCCCTAGCTTTTAGAATTGGGTGCGAATTTCTGTAAGGGTTCAGTATAAATGATCATCATTTTATCCCTACACTTAAACTTATTCTCTTTGATAATCATTTCATCAACTGTAAAAAAAGGTATATGAATGGCTGAGTAAACAATGTCTGGCTACAAAGAAAATAAATTTAACCCAGTTCTGCAACTTAGCAGTCAGACAAACTGACTACTACATCCCAACTGTCTACTAAAAAAAAAAAATTTATATATATATTTTTTTTAAAAATTACATTTCTTTAATGAGTTTAATTTTTATGAAAACTAAATTGGAACAAAAAACAAAAAGTGAAATGATGGACATAAGAATTTGCATACATGAATTTGTAATCTTTAAGGAGGAAGGAAATACTCGGTTTGGGCCAACTAAAGCAGGTTAAAAATATGATTAACTCCAAGCTTCCTATCATGTTTGTTTAATAGAATAGTGTATTTAATTCTCTTTTTGAAATATTTAGGGGTTAACAAAACTGGAAAGGAAATAATACTGGAAATGTTTAAGTAGATAGATATATTTTACAAGTTCTTTTAAATAAATGAATTTTTGTAGATTTTAAATTGAATTTTTGTAAAATGATAATTTAAAGAGAGGTAATGAGGTATGATATTATTAAACTGGACAAAAATAAAGAGAAGATATACAATAGGCTGATACAAAATTAGAATTAGAGGCATTTTAATTTTATAATTATAAAAAAAAAGAAATACACTTTTAAACATGTGAAAAAAATTACAACAGGCAAAATTGACTAATGCAACTAAAATAGGAATTTAAACTAATTTATAAACAATAGAAGTTACCTCTGATATGTTTTTTTCCGATTCACCAACATATGGGGAATATATTTGAGATGGATTTGCAGCAAAAAAATTAGCCTTGCATTCAGTAGCTAATCCTCTTGCAATGGTAGTTTTACAGCAGCCAGGTGGCCCAAACAAAAGAACCCCTCTTGGAATTGGAAGATCAACTTTTTTGAAAATTTCAGGATTTATAAGAGGTTTTTCTATGCACTAAATAAAAATCACTCTAAATTAATTGGTGTGCTATCCTATAAGCAAGGAAATTATCATATAATAAGGCATGATGAAATATGTAAATACATAAATGAAATTTTAATACTAGGATCCAACTTTCCTTGAATAGGCAATTGACAAAACTAAACGAATAAAACTTTGATTCATTTTTAAAATTTACAATCGATGCGAATAGTCAAATATTTTTAAAAAATGAAGGGGGAAAAAAACATTTTAAACATGAATATATAAATGTTAAGCATTTTTATAAGTAAGCTGCAAAAATTATTATTTTCACATAAATATAATTTACAAGAAAGTTAAGGTTATGCTAAAATTATATCTGTTGTTAAACGATTAAAAAATTGAAGTTTTAAAATGACGCAAACAACTGTAGCAAACTTTTAAAATTCAATTTTAAACAAATCTTAGGCAGGACACTCAAGTGAATCACGTACCATGAAAATTGCATTTTTATTGAAGATAATACAGTCTATAATCTTTAGCACGTCCCCCTATTACACAATCCCTTCAATTATAGCGATTGATGCATGAAGTCCTATTAGCTGTTGCTAGACACCATAACATCCATTAAAATTATTTTTAACATCCATTAAAAGGTTCAACGTGAACCATTCATACCAATATAGTAACTAAAATTTTGTTTAGTTTTTTTTCAATTCCCAGAAAAAAATGTGTTACATATTTTTACACTTTAAAAACAAACATTTTTCCATTGACAGTAAAAACTAAACTCAGTGGCACAACAGCCCAAAGCCTACAGTGCCCATCTCTTGACCTTGGGCTCCGGGTGCAGGAGCAGACGTTACGGTCAGGTGGTCAGCTGAACGCAGAACCCCCAGTGTTTAGCTCCCAAGCATGCTAGGTACTAATTTCATCGACCCACTGAAGGGATGAAAGGCTGAATCAACCTTGCCCGGTCCGAGTATTGAATCCAGGACCTGTGATACGAGAGTGTGATGCCACTCAGCCACCGGTGTCCCATTGACAGTGAATGACATTTTATTTCTTTGCTTTTATTGACTCTTTATTTAATGATAGTTGCCACATGCCGGCTGCTAATCTTGCCCTTGCACTGGACCTAAATCTTTAGCGATCCACAGATTTAAAGATGATTTAGAAAAGTGAATGATAAAAAGTTTTAACTGCATAGTTATTTTTTAATGTTTTGAAATATTAAAAAAAATTTAATAAATTGGAAAATGATAAATAAAAGGAGGGAATAATATTAAAGTAGAAAATCGCAGATCCAACAAAGAGTCTTTCCCTGATAATACAATTGATATTATTTTATTTATTTTAATTATAGTATAGACATATATTCTAGTACAATTTTACTATAAAATTATTAAAGTGTTCAGTAAAATATTTGTTACCAACTGCAGTCTCTGTTTTATACTTTTCATTCCTCCAATGTCCTTCCAATAAATTGGTTTAACCTTCAAGCAAAATTTAGAGGTTTTCAAGAGTGAGGGTGTCATTTTCAAGAATACTGCTTCAAAATCTTTAGTTGAAACATCATCATAATTCTTACCCTGAAAAACCACAAATAAAACAATTAGGATTACTTAATTTTCCTGGCAATTCCAGGCTTTCCCTTACTCTAAGAAAAAATGTCTATGTCTACTTTTTACACACAAAAATTTCTAACCATTCGCTAGTTAATATAATAATAAAGGAAACAAATAAAAAGTTTTTGTTTATTAAAACAGGAAATATTACTAAGAGTTCTTTTTTTAAAAAACAAACATTTAATCTCATTGAATATCAGTACTAAAAATAAGTAAAATGTCTTTTTTTTCCCCATGCTTTTCATCAAAGAGACAAAATAAAACAAATTTTGAGAAAAAAAGACAAAATATAATCAAAAATTGAGATTTGAAAGCAGAATTGGAATGAATCAATTGTAATTTTGATTTTCATGAAAAAACTAACACATCTTATCTGGAAATAACTTTATATATACTTGCAGGTATTTATCAAAATCATTATTGCTGAATTCCAAGCGTAACATAGGGGGATATCAGACAAGTAATTTATTCTAAAAAATTTTGAAAGCAAAAATTCTACTAGAATATGCAACTTTAGGTGCAATGCTTAATTAATTCGTATAAAATAATCAAAGAGCCTCATAATTAAATAGCAAGTTAATTAAAAGTACTTGTAACAGAGGGGACAAATAAAATCCCACATTTTTGACATGCATTTTTGACATTTATGCTGAATTCTGTGATTTAGACCAGGGCTTCTTAAACTGTGGGTTTCGACCCCCAGGGGGGTCGCGAGACTACTGAAAGGGGGTCGCAAAGATCTGATACTTTTCAATCATTAAAAATAAAATTTTAAAATTAGTATACACACTACGTACAAATATAAATACAAATAAAAATCATACAAAATACTATTGTAGTTTTATTATAACTATTTTTTGAAAAAAAGTGGCAATGCAAAACTGTTATGTAGGGCCTATAAATGAAAATATGGATGTAGCATTTAAAATAATAAATAGAACGCGCTCCTCGATTTTCAACTGAACGTTCGACATTGATGTCTGGCCGCCGGCGTCAGTGTTTGCCTTACAGCTTACACATACAATACGGAAGCATAATCAAGCTAGGCTAGGCGAATTGGCATATTATTTTTATAAAAGAATAATAAAAAAAATTAAATGAAAGCTTCTTTTTCGGCATCTTTGTGATACGGTGCCTTTGTGCGCTGCACACTTTGAACACGCCATGCGTCGGGGTTGATCTGATCGTAATTTGTTGTCATTGCACTGGTAGAGATTCGAGTGTAGTTATTTTTCTGCTTGTACTTCAGTTTGGACTCAGCTTTGTCTTCGTAGTGACATGTGTGTATTTACTGTGTAATTTTCAGTTGGTGTTTTTAATTATTACGTTAAAATTCAACTACATTTTGTTTAATTATTTATTATTATTTAACCATCATGGATAAATGGCTAATTAAAATTCCAACTAATAAGTCTGCCACGCCGTCACAACCAAGTTGCAGTGCTTCAAATCCTACTTCTAGCAAAACAAAAAAAAGAAAATATGACGAATCATATTTGCAGTATGGCTTCACATGCTCTTCTCACAACAATGAAGAACAACCAGTGTGTTTAATTTGCAAGGAAGTTTTGGCTGCAAAAAGCACGAAACCGTCAAAACTGCAACGATATTTGAATACTAAACATGCAACGTTATCAAAAAAGGCAATAGAATATTTTGAGCGTCTTTTGCAAACATCAAATAAAGAAAAGAACACTTTGGAGAAGTATGTTACTTTGAATGATAAATATCTATTGGCATCGTATGAAGTTTCGTATTTGATAGCAAAAACGAAAAAGCCTTTTACTATTGGAGAGCAACTTTTACTACCTGCAGCTATAAGAATGTCTGAAATTGTTCATGGAAAACAGTATGCTGCTGAAATTAGTAAAATTCCATTATCAAATGACACTGTGTCCAAAAGAATTTCAGACATTAGCAATGATCAATTTCAACAGCTTCTTATGAGGCTTAAAGACAGCTCAAAGTTTGCAATACAACTGGACGAGTCGACAGACATTTCAAAAATGGCACAGTTGTTACTTTTTGTAAGATATATTTATGAGGGAAGCATTCATGAAGATATACTGTTTTGTCGTCCTCTGGAAGGTCATACTCGTGGAAAAGATATATATAAAAAAGTAAATGAGTTTTTTGAAAAAGAAGGATTAAATTGGAAAAATTGTGTTGGTGTGTGCACGGACGGTGCTGCAGCAATGACCGGACAAGATCTTGGTTTTACAGCATTTGTTAAAGCTGGAAATGATCATATTACATTTACACATTGTATGATTCACCGAGAGGCACTTGTTGTTAAAAAAATTGCACCAGAATTAAACACTGTGTTTTTTGATGCAGTCAAAATCATTAACTTTATTAAAAGTCGAGCACTTAATAGTCGATTGTTTAAAAATTTGTGCATTGATATGGATTCGGATTATACAAGTTTATTGCTACATGCTGAAGTTAGGTGGCTATCAAGAGGTCGAAGTTTGAAACGATTATTAACTTTAAAAGATGAAGTTCTTATATTTCTAACAGAGCAAAATTCTAATTTGGCCGATTATTTTCAAGATAATTTATGGCTTCTCAAGCTATGCTATTTGGCAGATATTTTTGATAAAATCAATGATATGAATTTATCAATGCAGGGAGTCTGCGTTAATATGTTTATGTTAAAAAATAAACTTGAGGCCTTTGTTAAAAAAATTCTTATATGGAAGAACAGAGTGGAAAGTGGATCGCTCGAAATGTTTCCATTTACTGACGAGTATATAATTAGTAACAATATTTCAAAAAAAGATACTCCTATAACAAAAATTATAGTTAATCATTTGAAGGATATGGAAGTTTACATGCATAGGTATTTTCCCAATGATATCGATACACAACAATGGATTTGCAATCCATTTTCAATTGAAATGGAAGAAATTAATTTTTTAAACTTAAAAGCACAAGAAGAATTTGCCGAATTAACAAGTGATACTACCTTGCGACTTAGATTTTCTCAAGTGCCTGTGCATGAATTTTGGATAGAAATCAAATCAGAATATCCCCTACTATCGGAAATGGCAATGAACAAATTACTGCCATTTTGTACAACATATTTATGTGAATCAGCCTTTTCCACATTAACTTACATAAAATCAAAATACCGTTCAACTTTAATAAACGTTGAAAATTTATTACGATCTGCATTAACTCAAACTGAGCCTAGATTTAATTATTTGTGTAAAAATAAAAAATCACATCCGTCACATTAATATTGTTTGATGTTAATAATATGTTTTTATTAAAAAAATTGTTACAAAAGTTTATTTTTTCTATTGAATATATAGATATAGTTTTATGTTTTCTTATAAAAAAATTGTCACAAAAGTTTATTTTTTCTATTGAATAAATATATATATAGTTTCATGTCATTCTATTTATTGTGTTTTATTACGACCGATATCCCGTCAACGTTTCCAATTATATATATGTGAAATGAATGGGTACGTATTCTTTAATCCTTATTTTATTTACATTGTAAAATAGTGCGATATTACATCTACATCTATGGTTAATATATATTTCATTATATGGAGGAGGGGGTCGTTTAAAATTTCCTAAGCTTGAAGGGGGTCGCTATATAAAAAAGTTTAAGAAGCCCTGATTTAGACCATCCTAAACATTATCTTTTTTTTTTTTTTTTTTTTTTTGTAAATTATCACATTTCAAAGTAAAATAAATCATTATAAGACTTTCAAAATTGCAAACACATTTTTTTAAAAAAATCCAAATAATGCATTGTAACAGAGAGGACATGGAATGTAATAGAAAGGACATTTTACAAATTTGGCAAAAAGTTAAAGGGAAATATCCCTCATGGGTGCAAGTTGGAAAAAAGGCTAGGACTAAAATTTTTTTGACTGAAATACCTAACATACACAATACCCCCTTGACACATACAAACTATCTAAGAAAGTTTTACCATAATACATCAAGTTTAAATACTGTACAAAAAATTTCTATTCATCTGTCTTTTGATAAAATAACAACAGGACATAAGAAAGTAGACCAATAACGTAGACCAAAAAAATATTTTTAAGTACAGAAAAAAAATAATTCTGATTTCAGTCTTCGAGTCAGTCTTGTTTCCGTCCGTGGACATTTTCGAAAGACGGTAATCCATCCTGGGGACGGAAGACTTGCACCCATGATATCACTTAGAAGTGACTCTGTGGTTATTTAAAGTTGGAGTTGGCAGCACTGCTTTAATTGAAACCTGTGCTACATCTTTCTAGTTATATTTTAAAGTTTTTATTTTACCAGACCATGTTCTAAAAAATAAAAAAAAGTGCATTGTTTGTTTGTTTTTCTCAATTTCAGTAATTTGGCAACAAAATTAACCACCCAATTTTTTTACTAGCACTTTTTACACTTGCAAAACTATCTATTGTAACATCAAATAAATCCCAGTGTTTTAAATGGTGACTGGTGTGCATTAAATATGTCAGGTCAGAAAGTCCTCAAGTTCCCAAAACAAATCAATACCTCTGAGGGTACTGATCGAGGAGTTTCATTGTCTTTTGGATTGGGTTCAAAATTACAAGGCTACAGAGCTGAACATTGGTAGCCGTAAACTCAAATTTGGGTCAACTGTTCAACGTAGGTTATAAAATAAAAAGTCACTAGCGCGATTGTCGCAAGTTGCAATATTTAGAAATTCAATGTAATTATTAGGCAAGCAACTGTGATCTTAATAATTCATATTTTCGTGAATAGCACATACACATTTTATAAAGTGTCTGTCGTACCTACGCATAAAATATGGATAGGTCGTAGTACAGCAAACTTAGCTTTGCCAATTTTTATGTTTGGATGAATCTGCTTTGATACTTGATATGCTTCCATCAAGGTGCACATTTAACTTTGTGGGCTTTCTGTCCATTTTCTCTGACAATCATGCACTCAGCTCTACCAGAAGTCTGGTAAGAAAGTTTATCAGATGAGTAGAAATTTATTGCAAGTTTTTTTTGTTCCATCAGAACCTATATTAGGCCATTTCTTTTGTTTTGATAATAAGGTTACAGAGCATGCATAGAACAGTACAACGTTTTCTTGGAGATACAGGTAGTGCACAGTTGGCCTTTTTAATAACTTTCTTCAATACCTAAGGCGTATTATAAAAAGAATATCCTTCCTCAATTTCCACTGCTTGTATCAGTGCCTTTTTATATTTCCTTCAATTTATCTGTTTAGGTTCCTTTTTTTTCTTTCAAAATACTTCTGTTATCATAAATTCACATATTATATTCTTTATCTTTTTTCTTACAAATTTCTTTTTTTTTATTTGGAACATTCTAGTTCTATATTCTCTCATTCTTTTTGCTGCTGTTTTATCCCTATTGATTACTCACTTAAAAAAAAATGCTAACTATCAAATAAAAATGGCACAGATTTGTATAAAAAGTGTGCTCTAATAGTGGAGGAGCTAGTTTAAACTAGTTGAATCAGGATGCATTAGCACTTGCTTACATTCCTAGAGTTCCTTTTTAATGGTCAACATATCAATTTTGTGTAACTGAAGGGACATTTAGTTTTGTCCTCTCCATTATGTCCCCTCTGTTATATGAGAAACTTTAAAAAAAAAAAAAATTAAAATATAACGTAACATGATTTTACCAATGAATTTTACTGTAAAAACCAAATATTAAGTTAAAAGGTTTTTTGCGTAATAAATAAAATGAAGTTAAATTAATAATTGCAATAGACGGGACAAATATATATTTGAGATAAATTTTGACTTAAAAAATAAAATAAGAAACTTTTTTGAGGATAATCACTGCATAATTAGACTCTTGAACCATTTATTTTATAATATAAATCAAGTAATATGTAAAATCGTAATATTTTTAATAACTTATTCCTCTTTAAAATAGTTTTTTTTGTAGAATAAGTCAAAATCATGAATTCTCTCTATTTATGATAAATTTTACTATAATCATGTATAACTCTAAAAAATAACTTTTAAATTCATAAATTACAAAAGATTTACTTTAAAATGATACCAAATACAAGGATATTGCTTAAACTTTAAAAATTCACTACTGGTTTCAATTGGCATGGAATTCAACTATCGCATATTGCAGTCATCTAAAACTGGGCCGGCTGCAGTTTCAGATCATAGTTAAGATAGATAGAGTCAAGACCTTAATAGGAGGGCAAATCAAACAGTAAGTTACCCTAAGTCGCAGCAAGAGTGCGCTGTGTGTCGTAATCTTGGAAAATGTGGAGAAAGGGACAGTAAGTGCTCAGATGTCTAATAGGAACGTTTGTTTCTTCCCCGCCTCATTTTGTGTGAATAGCAGGCAAAGATCAATGGCATGTCAACTGGAAGTTCACTCTAAATTGGAGGTGCGTATAGCAATCAGATTTCTATTAGGAGTCTGTCCGGGCCAAATTTACCATCGTTTAGCGATACCTTCACAAATTTAATTTTAGGAAAAACGGCAGATTTCCTAAATTTTAACAAAATACTTTTTCTTAAAATTTTATTTTTGTATCCCGTAAGAAACGATAAATCCATATTTCCGTGTTGATTTTTTATTATAATATTCACAAAATAAGTACCTCTTAGAAAAACCTAGACAGACCCCAGTGTATGTGCCAAAAGGATTAATTGCAAGGATATTCATTGTGAAACCTAAAACTAAATTCCAAAGGTGCGAACTGCTGCAGCGATTCAAGTGGAAGATATGGCAATATCCTTCATACAGTCCTGACCTATCACCAAGCGATTTTTCTGTTAGCAGAAAAAGGATCTCAGTGGATTACCATTCCTCAATGACGAGGACGTGAAAGCAGCCGTCTTCGGGTGGTTAAATAACACTGGAGATTTCTACGCATCCGGAATCGAAAAGTTCGTTGTTCATTCAGATAAATGTTTACAGTCTCTTGAGAACTATGTGAAAAAGTTAACTTATCTTATATGCTGTCATAGCCATGATGCTTTTGTTCAGGTGATTTAATAAATGGCCATAACTTATAAGTGCAACTTTCGTTTTGATCTGGCCTCATATATTTAACAACAATTTAAGCTTACATGGTATTGAATATTTGACATTTTAGAGTACTTAGTTTCAGGTACTATTTGGTTAGCTAACCAACACTGTGCTTTTTAACACAAAAAAGAAAGAAAATAGTAAGAAAGAAATTATGAGTCAGAAAAAAAATTTGTGATGAAAAAGTATGCAAACCATTACACTACTTACTATTTATTATTAGTATTATTTTATAATACATAAATTAACAAAATGAATAATAGTAAAAATACCTGCATTTTAGCACACTCTAAAACAGTTTTAGTCATAGCAGCAACATCGTTAGCAGTAAAACCAGGCATCTTCTCAGCTAAGAAATTATAATCAATACCAAATATGCCATATTGCTTCATCAGAGCTTCTAGCATTTCCTTTCGGTGACTTATAGACAATAAACCAATAAAAATCTAAATACAAAAGAGACTAGTAACTATAAAATAGTATCTTTTAAATAATTTAAAATTTATTAATTTTAATCTTAAGAAAATATTGAAAAAATGAGACTAAAAGAGAATTTAAAAAAAAATCATTTTACAATCATAAAATAACTTCATACTTCAATAATTTGTTTCAGGTACTAGCTGTATTTTAGATTTACTAAAAAATACACATATATATATATATATATATACATTCAGTCAGACCTCGATATAAGGTCACCCTAAGGGACATCGCAAAAGTGACCTTATAAGCGGGGTGACCTTTTAATCTATTCATTAGCAGTTCGTAACTAAGCACGTAAATAGTACACATTATGATTTTTTAAAAATGGTAATAAAAACGAAAACGATCGGCCATAAATTAAATATTTAAGACAATAAATTTTAACAAAATTAGTAAAGAATTAAAGACCGTTAGATTTTTAAAAAAAAAATTTATTTAAAATAAAGCTGCTTACAAATTTCCTCAAAGTGTACATATATACATAAAATCTTACCCTATTTAAAATAATAATTTCATTAATGCAGGTTTGTCTCGCTTTTGGTTTCATTTTTCGAACGATGTTTTCTAGATTTTGTAACTCCTCAAAATGTTCCTCAGCTTCCTCATGATTTGTAAAAAAATTTCGCATGACATTTTTGCAATGAAGGCTTCCGCTTGGGTTACAGGTACAGTCTCAGGATCACTGTCATTGTCCTCACTGTCCACAACTTGTAAAACAATTTCAGAAATTGTAGCTTCAGAAGTGGTGGCAATTTCCTCAACAATCAAACCATATTCAGCCTCCCCTTCAAAAGGCATGGCCACGATTTATCAAATCTTCCATCAGAACAGATAGAGGAATATCGTCTTCTTCGGTTTCGGCATCCTAGATGTTCAGAGAACTCACAAAACCAGCATGACGAAAACAATTTGCTTTGCATGTGGTGGACACCATGTTCCAACATTTGTACACATAGAAAACTGTCTTGAAAGTTAAATCATGTCTTACTTTAAATCTCTGAATTCATCCATTGCTCACCATAAAATCAGGTTCTCCTGATTCCGGGGCTATTTGCAGAGCTTTTTCTTTCAGTACTGAACACGATATTGACACATTTTGCCCTCTAGACATTTTTATTCATTGGAGAACGGCATCTTCAATTTTCTCATAAGGGGGGAAATGCATCCTTTTTCTTTTCCCAAATGCCTTGCGGATATTGTTTACAAGACAGAATATTGTTTAAGGGAGTACGTGGCATACCATGTTCTTCGGCAAAATGTGCTTTTGATAAATTTGAATTTTCAAAATCTGCAGTGATCTTTTCCTTCTCTCATAGAGTCAATGTCTTTCTCTTTGCCAACATGATGACACTATGAGAGAGGTTCAAATTGAATTCTTTCCTCTGGTCTGGTCAGCAAATAGTCATGTGACACGATGGGAAAACTTGTCCTTTGTTCTCGTCCGAATGGCAAAAGCCCCTCCCCCTCGAGCAATTACTGGCAGTGAAGACAGGGGGAAATTCTTTGTGAACTGGGGAGTGGAAACTCTTTCAAGGTTCAGGTGTGTTCGTCGGCTGCAACATTTTCCTAGAATTCGAGAGGGGTAATTGCATTGTAAGGAAGTTGAATAGGCTTTTGTTAGAAAAGAGCTCCAATCGCCTCAGATAAAAATTACCTTATAAGCTATAACGATTTTTAAAGCTTGACCATATATCCCATAATCTGTAACAAAGAATTCCTATTCAGTGAACCTGGACTTTGGAAAAGTGACCTTATATTTTTGAAAATTAGGTTTTGAAAATTATTGCAAGGTTTTGAAAATTATTGATGAATTTTGAGTGTTCTCTTCTTTGACATCTTAAAAACATTTTAAGTATTTAACTTTTGCACAAAAACCAAGTCTACTGTTCTTATTGAAATTCAGAACATTCCGAGAGATAATTTTAGTAACAAAAAAGCTACAAATTATAATCAAAAATTTTTATATCTCTGATTAAGACATTATGAATTATTTTAGGAAACAGCAATGTGACATTGATACAACTTTTTTTTTTTTTGCACTTAAAATACTAATGTTATGGATACAGAGCAATGCTGTAAATAGTAGAAGAAATAATGAAGTTAATGAAGCAGTAAATTTATGAAATACTTATTTGTATCTATGTTATTATGGATGGGTGGTCTAATGTAAACAATAACAAGCGTCCTTAAACCGGAAGAAATTTAGAAAATTTCCGGTGTATCCCTCCGCTTATGTTATGTCTACGAGGCGATGTGTGAACAAGCCAAATATTCTATGCAGTTTTGTCATTGTAATTTGGGTTCAAATCTAAACATAATTGTACCATTCATAAGAGCTTTCAGAAATGTATTGATTCTCAGAGGTCGTAAGGCCAAAAAAAATTTTGGAATGTTAATATCTCACTGTGAATAATTCTTAAGGTTTGCCATGTTTTGTATTTTATCCCTTATTTGGCTACATTTGAATAAAATATCTTTAAAAATATCTTTTTAAGTTAGCCTAATTAGAAAATATTCTAATGATTATAATATTAATATGATAATGCTGAAGTTAAAGGCTGAAAGAAAGAACTCGGTACATGTGAAATACTGCAAAAGATATGATGCAATAATATGATGGCGCGTTTTTTCAATCTGCGGCATAAAAATATATCGGAAGCAATAACCCGGAAGTCTTGAAAGAGCAATTTTACCACTAGCGCCACCACCCTTAGCTTTACACGATCACCCATCCATACAAGAAAATAAATTTAAATTAAATATGTAATAGAACAAAAAACAACTACTACAGTTAAAAAAATAATAACTATTTTAATCGGAAACACCTGTGTAACAGGGCATGCAAATGTTGTCTACCTTACCTTGTAACATACTTCTTTTTTTTCACATACAAATGCACTCTTCTTGACTTTTTTGTAAAAACACATTTTACTATTTTTTTATTATTTTGAGAAAAAGATAATGTCTTTATAAATATTATTTTAATTTACTTGGGAGTATAGAGATTTAAATTCTACCAAACAGTTGGTCAACTTTACTAAACAGTTAAGAAGAAATAAAATAAAATACACTTATGACAATATGCCCAAATTTACTTATGACTTATACAATATACTTATGACAACTTGTAAATACTTATGAATATAAAGTATTGTCATTAAAAATAATACCTACATGGTGATCAATAGAAACACCTTTACAGTAGTTTTAAGCATACTAGGTACAATAGGTAACCGATTATCCGGAACGATGGAGACCATCACTATTCCGGATAACTGATTTTTCCAATTTTCTGAATCGCTACAAAAAGTCGTTTTTTATATTGTTAAACCCAACTAAAAAAAAAAAAAATTTGGGAAATAATCTTAAAAAGAAGAAAAAACAATGAAGTAATACACTAATGATTATTTCCAAAATGATGGTAAGGTAAACATGTTTCAAAAAAGAAAGAAAAATCCTGAAATCTTATGAGGAAAAAAACATTTTTTTTAAAAAAATGGCGGGAAAATGTATCGAATTTATTTAAATTAACGACGGAATTAAAGATTTTGTTTGAACTAAAATTATTTATAACAGAGAATCTGTATTCATGAATGTTTGGTTTAATTATTACAAAAATGCAATTAAATTATGCATAAATGTTAAATTTTGCTATAACATTTATTTTTTTTTAAGAAACTAAGCAAAAAAAATTTATAATTCTTAGTAAACCTTTTAAAAATGTGCCTTTTTCTTAGAAAAAAAAACCATCATGCTTTTATATATACATACATATGATAGGGAAATATCAGGACACAATAACATAAATCCTTAGAGATATCAATGAAAGAATGAGCAACAGAAGCATTAATAATTAAGATTACATTTTAAGTCATTACGGGGGCTAGGATGTTGATGGCTGAAAAATCCTTAAAAGTTACCCTTAAAAAATTTGAAAAAGACTAAAAATGACCCTAAATTAATAGACAATGCCCTTAAGAGTTTTCTAAGGCATGTTTCACATTAATTTCCTTAAAATTATAAATCGTAATCTGTATTTTTTAATTTAATAAAAAATAAGATAATTAAAATAAATATGTAATAAATAAATTAATTAAAAAGTCAATAAACATCTCGAAGATAAATGATAATTTAAGATAATTGTAATCTTCAAAAAGAGAATTGCCAACCCAAAAGCAAATTATATTTTGAAACACTCTGTTTAACAGCATCTCTTGTAATTGGAGCAAATTTAAAATAACCAAATTCAATGTAAACTTAAAAGTAATTTATCAAGAAAAAAATTAATACATGAGCAAGCTGCTTGTAACTTAAAAAATATTTAAAATTCATAAAATAACGTGAAAAAATTAAAATTATAAAAAACTTTATATATAATATATAAGCGCTCTATGAAAGAAAAAACAACCAATTGTACAAAAGATGCATTAGTTATAAACATTCTAACATTGATTATTACTTTTGAAAAACAACACAATTAGAAAAACCAAATGAATTTAAAAAAAAGATTGAAACTGAAAACATGCTTACTTCAGTGTCAAAAAAATTTATAAAATAAGCATTCAGCAGTCCTTTATGTGGCACAGCACCAAGAATAAAAATATGTTCTTTTTTGAGAACATCAATCAAGTAAGTTAAAAAGTTTAATTTGTCATCTTTTTTCGATTTTGAAGGATTATTTTTAAATATTCGATCTAAATTATCAATAAACAGAATTACAGGAATATTAGACAAAACGTTTTTCAATTTAACAAGTGCAGATATATATGCATTGCACACTTCTAAGGAAAGTTTTGAAAATCCATCGACTTTGAGAAGGAAACAATTTATGTCAGAGCAAAATTTTTTAATCAAAGTACTTTTACCACTTCCGGAAGGTCCCAAAAGTAATATTCTTTTGCTAACTTTAAAACACATTTTCAATAACTCTAAAGCATCATTAAAACCACCAAGAGTTTTCAGTTCAAATTGTTCTGAAATCTGGAACTGTTCAAAAGAAAGAAAACCAGTTACTTCTAAAACAGTACTTCGTGTAATTCGTCCATAAGTGCTGTCTCTTATTTTATAATTATCGTCAAAAAGCATATTTTTCACTATCAAACATTTAATATTAAGTAAATTAGCTAATTCTAGTCCATCACATTTCACAATAGCATTTGTTTTAACAACATAATTATGAAAGAGTTTCGAAATTACATTAGAATAATGCTCTAATGTGGGGATGGCAGAGCAGATAACACTTTGAAGTACTATTCGTATTTCTAATTTCTTAATAACCGAAGTTTTTATTAGACTGAAATCTGACGGAAAATTCAACAATTTTTTGCTGGTTGCGTTAACATTAACATTTCGATATGTAACAGTTTCGTCAATTGCAACACAATTCTCGGGATCCAACAAAGGAAATATCCGGCATATACAATTATATACACCACAATTCACCGAAACAAAATCTCCAATATTTACTTGCAAATTTCGCAAGTCATTAATAGGTAAATAACACTTTTGTACGGAAAACTCGTCTCCAGTTAAAACTTTTTTAACCAAGTTTCGAAACATTTTTACAAAGCTTTTATGAAGTATCGGAAGATTTTTATTTTGGATAACTATATGAAAGCAACTAGATTTTCCCGTCAAATTGACCTAGTAATTTTATCCGTCACATCTTAAAGCCCAAGATTTTGAACAGAAAAAGTATCTTTAATAAAATATAGATATTGCAGCGATATTCGTTAGGGCAAGTAAGCTTCAAATAAATAAATTGCAAGAAAAGTCGTGAAGTGTGGAGAAAGTAAATAAATCCTCAATGATCAAAATCAAAACTATACACAAATAAATAAAAAAAACGTGCTAAAATTGTCATAAACAGTTGAAAAAATATTTTATGAATAAAACTTTTTTTCAATTCCGGTTCATAAATAACTATGTTCAGTACAAATATAAAACTGAAATCTGACGGTTCAAATATTGCTTATTACGAACTAATTGAAATCTGAGGCACAAAAACATTACAGTTAAGATTAGGCAGTTACAATATTATAATATAATTAATATTTTTTGAAATTTTAACAGGTCAGCCTGTTCGGCAGGGCACTGAACCCATGTCCGAGAGTTCGTGTGTACGAACCCTGCCGACTGAAGACTCCCCGTGTAGTAAAATGGTGACTGATGCACGTTAAATCTGTCGAGTCGCAAAGTCCTCCATCTTCCCATAACTCTGGGGGTACTGAATTGGAGATTGATCGTTCTCTGATTCAGGTCAAAATTACGATCTGTGGATGATTGTTGTAGTTCATTTACGTCGCACTAGAGCTGCACAATGGGCTATTGGCGACGGTCTGGGAAACATCCCTGAGAATGATCCAAAGACATGCCATCACAATTTTGATCCTCTGCAGAGGGGATGGCACCCCCGCTTCGGTAATCCGATGCCCTGCGCGAAGTCGAGCTCTTTACAGTAGAGCAGTTTAACGAGGACCAATACCGCACACCCTCTGTCCCTACCAAGACTGATCCAAGTGGTCACTCACCAGCACACTGACCGCAGCCAGCGATGCCTGACTTCGGTGATGTGATGGGAACCGTGTCTTAATGATCAGTCCACTGCGGGACGATCTGTGTGGTATTGGCGATCAAATGAGCAACAAGTGGCGTAGACTCTCTGCGTATGACAATATTTCGCACGCATGTCTTCACCATTAGCGTGTGGAGAGCTACTTGTGACTGTGACATTATCCACCTTTACGCGCTGTTGCTGCTCAGTCTCGTCTCGATTCGCGATCGCAACGCTCGAGTACGCCGTCTAGCGGGAGCCTGTAAATATCGGACATTAACTTAATACAATCACATTTTCTGCCATCAAAGTCATTGACTGAATCAGACGCCATTTTTTAGCAGCAAATAAGAAACAAAATTTCCCTAAGGAAAAGGCCGAAGAACTTGAAAAAAATCTCCAGAATATTAGTAAATCTTTCAGGAACAGAACACGCCAAACATTTGAAGAAAAATTCCTCAATAATTTTTAATTTCTATTATCAACAAACTTGCAACTGATGACTTCCGATTTCGGATACTGTTACAGATGTGTGTATTAAGGTAAAATGCATTTCTTCTGTCTTCAATTCATTACGAATTAAAGTGAAGTCAACATTGCTTTCGTCATTCCAGTGAATAAATATGAATTCAGAACATACAGAATTGTAATAGTTATAGCATATTCTTCTTCGTTATAGAATAGTATATATTTCTGTATCCATATAATTCGGAAAACAACAATAAAAAATTATCCAAGTTACTTGAAATAGTGCCATTTGTGCTGATTCTTAATTAATTTAAATCGTTTTCTTGGTAAGTTTTTTTTAATTTTGAAAGAATAAGTTCAACTAGAATTCAGCTATTCTGTTTTTAGCTACATATTCAAATTCATATCAATTATAAAATTTTGCTGTGTAGTATGTTATCTAAAAGTAATGAAGGTATAAACTATGTATCTATTATTTGAGAATAAAGTTTTCAAACAAGGAACTTATCATTTTGGAATTCTCCGGGAATCATAAATCAGGTAAGTGCAATGATTTTTACAATAAAAAATTTGCTTGTAAATATTTTTTTTTCATTTGATGATGGTTCTCTACAGAATGGTTTTTTACGTCTGATTAAGAACTATAAGAATAATAAAAAAAGAAACAATATGAAAGTTTTTATTTCAATGTTAAGAATTCTTAAAATCGTTTTTTTTATCCTAAGAATTCTTTATTTTCCGTTTTTTAGTTTATAATTTTTTGATAAAAATTGTTCTCAAAATACTTTTTTTGAAAAATTAAATGGTATAACATTATGTGTTTATGTATACTTCTTGTATATTCCAATGTTTGAAGTAATATGATTCAGAAAAGTATGGAATAAAAATTCGGTACTTACGTATTAACGCCACCGCCGCTACAGATTTGGCGGTTTTTAAGTGCCGCCAATCTACACTTAAAATTTTTGCGACAATTCATAAAATAAAACACTTTATTTAAAATCAAAATAGTCAATCGGATTTCGGTGGAAAATGAGCCGATATAGAGTTTAGCATAGATTCAAAACAATCATATCGCCATATGAACTCTGATAAATAAGATTCCAAATGAAATAACATTTCCAAAACGTACGTTTACCAAGATAAAGTTTTATGTTGTGGGAATTGGTACATTTTCGTTTTTTCGGTAAAATATTTCCCTCCTGAAAAAATAAAATTGCATCTTGTTTTGTTTTTGGCAAATCCCAAAGACGAATTTTCGTAGCACTAAAAATGGCGACAAAAAAGAATTGTTTTTTTTTTTTTGTTTCGTCAGCATTCTTTATTTTACGTTTCTTAGTTTCTAAATAATGATTTTTATTGAAACTTGAAATTTTTTGATAAAAATTGTTGTCAAAAAACTTTGTTTACAAAATTAAATTTCATAAAATTATGAGGCTTATGTATACTTTTTGTTCATTTTAATTTTTGAACTAATATGATTCTTAAAACTATAGAATGTAAAGTTTAAATGGGCCTTTCATGTTATATCATTAAATTTAGTAATACTATTTCTCGGGCATTAGGTTTTAACTCTTATAAGAATATACATATTTTTTTCTGTTAATGTACAAATATTTTTCCGATGTGTTTTGGATATTCCTTCTCTAATAAAAAGAGATACCATTTTGTTTTCGGTTGTACAAGAAAGAAGATCAAGCATTTTTCTTTTTTAAATTTAATAAGCCACATTAAAGAAGGAACGTTGCAATGCTACACGCTACATTAACGACGTCTCCAGAGTAACTGAATGACGGTTCATATAGAAATCGCAGGTATGCGTCTCATACAACAACGCCCCCTATAGTTCGTTGCGATCGCGAATCATTACGTCGGCCTGCTTACACTCGACTGCTAAACGCAACACAGGAGCGACTACGACCGTGAAGATAATACATCTCTCACATTCAGCACTCAAAAAAACCCGGTGACCTTATATAATCCAGCTTTCCTTTCTTTCACAAGTACAGCAACTAGTGTTATCCATTCATCGAATTCTATCCCTATTAAAATTCTGGTGGGGGAGTATTGTGGCGTAACTACCACTGCGAAAATTTAACATCAGTTCACTGGTACATAAGCCATGCAATAAAAAAATTATAATTATAATAGATTTGCGCTTGAAGGTTTTCTTGAAGTTCTAAGATTTAAACTTTCTGCAAATATGATTCTTATAAGTTTTAAATCCTTATTATTCATTATCCACATTGCATCTTTTGCATATTTTCTTTTCATTTTATTTATCATAGTTAAAAGTATTGGGGGACATGATTTCATGGAAATGGTTTTTAAATATTAATTTGTTAACAATTTGATGACTGCATCACTCAAGATATGTAAGCATGATTTAATGCGTAAATAGCATAATACTGCTTCAGGTTAAGGCTCCTATACTATGACCTCTATTTCGATTAAATTAAAAGTGAAAAAAGGAAAGAAAGAAAAAAAAATGTTAAATTAATTATAGAATGAGAGGGCATTGCTAAATAATAAAGATATTTTAAATCAAGTATATTGACAAATTTAATTCCTATTTTATTTTTTGTGCAAAATTTGATGCACAATGCCTCGTTAAAAAATTACAATCTTATAATTGAGTATTTCGTTCTGTAAAAAGAAAGAAAAAAAAGAGAAAATAGCTATTTTTTTTAAAAAAAAAAAATAGCTATTATTATTTAGCATTGAAGTAAAAATGTGATTTTGTCGCAAATTTCCTAGACTCAAAATATCGTGATTTTTAACAGACACGCAGTTTTCAATTTTTATTGTTTTAAACAGAGAATAAGTAGCAAAAAGTTATTGCTTAAGAGTTGTATTGACATAAAAATTTTTTTTGAAGTGTCAACAAAATTCATAAATGATTGAACTTTTTTGAAACTACTAACAACTTTTCAGTTTAAAGAAAAAAAAATCGATATTAAATGTACAATTAATATATATATATTTTCTTTTAATTATTAAGAGAGTGTTAACGTATATGATGCTCACATAGAAGTTAAGCATTTTTTAGTATCTATAAGAAACCTCAGCAACCATTTTTTTTGATTATTTCAATTCTGTGTTTAAGAAGTCTAAAATGGACTTTTTAACTTTCTTTTTTATTTTTTAAATCAGCAATATTTTGGATTTTGAGGATAATCAAATGACTTCTTTGAAAAGTTAGTAAACATATAAGAAATTTCTATCATATTTGATTAACTAACGAATTGTACAGGAAAATTTTTTTTCTCCAATTTCATATAGTATTTGAATCTAAGATTTTAAATTTAACAAAAAATGCTAATTTATGACATGTAAAGCTGGCCAGATAGTTACTGACTGCCTTAAATGTAGATTATAAAAAAAGTTTTAAATAAATAAAACCAACGAAAAAAATACTAGGTATTTAAATAAGTTAAGACTAATGTAAAATAATAGTCACTTTCTCTATTTTTCTTTCTTTCTTTAATGCAGATTGGCTTTACTCAAATTTCCTTATTGTTTGGCCAATGTTCAAAGACACGAGGTTATGGAGCTTGGCGTTTCAAGACAAATTCGCAACATGGATCACCTGTATATTATTGAAAATGAAATCTCATTTATTGGGATGACTCTATATTATATTAGTTGCATGAACTATACATGTGATTTTTTATTTAATATTTCTACAATTTTCACGATTCATAAAAAACCCTGAGTTTACCATGTAAAAAATAGTTCTTTATTTTTCATACATTTTGTAAGTCACAGCAAACTATCATTGTTTATAAGTACATCTTACGAAGAGAGTAATAATATTAATTTAATTATCTTAGAAAATATGATGTGTCTTTATCTTAAGAAACTAATCAGTCCCATATTACTAAGATCCATTAACGTTTAAATATATTGTGCAGAAATATATTAAAAAAAAAACCCCACTCAAGGTCAAATCCTTTCTCAGTTTAGAATCAAGACTGTAAAGTTCTAATTCTTGGATATCTGGCCCGTACTTAAATAAAATTCTATTTCAATATCCAAACCTCACCTACATCATAAAATTACAATGTTAAGGCTTTTAATTCAAAGCTCAACATATGTATGTTTAAAATCTTACTATCCAGGAATATTTTTGGTTTGTTGAAGTAGTTGAGGAATTCGCTGAAGAAGTTGAATGTTGATCGACATATTTTATTCGGGAGAGATGTAGGCAAGCAGTTATTTAACAAAAATCATAAATTACTTATTAAAGCATCAAATTGTAATACATAAAAATTCTTTATTTTTGAATTACTTTATTATGCGGAGCTCCAAAGTAAAGAGTAATCTCAATTTTTTATATAAGTATACATTATCAAATTATAAATTTGGAAAATGGCTTGGATAATGTGGTTGCAGGGCTTAGCCCGACATGACACTCTCTGCCCACTCAGAAAATCAAAAATGTGAGTGTGACGAGTACATTATCATAGTTTTTGCCAAGGAAAGTTAAGGAATCAGTGTATTGGCTATTAATTGATTAAATTTAATGTCAAGGCTCTTTTTCTTAGTCTTACACATTCATATGTGTTGGTGAAAAAGAAAGTGTGAGAAATAATAAAGGACTTCAATGAAATCAAAACATTTGCAACCATATAATGGTTTTTGAATTTATGCTAATGTGTTAGGCAGAAGTAGAGGAGATATCTAAAAATGGATTTTATTCTGCACTCAATTTAAGGTTGTGGTATAAAAAGATTACGGTTCATATTAATGATTTTTATTTATTGAAAAAGTATTAAATAAGTATTAAATAAGATAATAATGCTAGAAAATATGTTATGCATATTTCAGCATGACATTTATTAACATACTTTTTCTTAGATTTTGTTTTCAAATTTTATATGCTCAAAATTAAAGAAATTTTAAAAAGATTTTCTTATTTATTTTATTTATTTCATATCTTTGGAAAGAATATTACAAACATGACATTGCATCATAGTAAATATAGAACTTTATTTAAGTATAAACTTTACAAAAATATTTTGATTTAAATAAATATTTTGAGACAACATAAGTTAATCATTTGCATAGATGTTATAACAATCAAAATAAAACAAACAGCTTTTCAAATGTTTAAATAAAAAAAAAAAATTTTCTTACTTTTCAGTAGTAAGTATTATAGCTAAAGTTTTTGCTTGAAAGATATTTAAATAATTTTCTGATGATATCAATATTTAAATTATTAGTATTACATTTTCAAACAATACTATAATACTTTGTATTTTAAAACAATTATAATAAAAAGGCAAACTTCACAAGACAACTAAAACCTAGTTTTCAACAAAACCATAATGCATATACTCTTGTAATAACATTTTATTTCTATGTTAATGTTTTATATGTAGTTTGCATTTAACTAAATATTGCCAAATTCGGAAGTATTTATATATAGATATAAATAAATAATAAATGTTAATTTAAGCTATTATTTTACAGCACATTTATTTTCTATTAGATTGGAAAAAATAGAATAAAGCCTTCATAAAATGATTTTAGAAAAAGCATACTGTTTCCAATTTATTTTGTAATTTAGTGAGCTCTTTCTGAAAAACAAACTTTTTATGGGGGGGGGGGGGAAANGGGGGGGGGGGGACAACAAAAAACAAACTGCAAATAGCTAATACATTTTTCTATTTACAAATAGCTCACAAATTGCATTTCAAAATTTTTTATATTTGTATAATTTCAGCATGTAAAAAAATAATATGAGAGCCAAAATATATAATTGCTCAAGTTAAATAGGTATTAAAACTTAATAAAAAAAAGAATATTGCACTAAAATATAACTTATTTAGAGATAAAAAAATAACTTTGGTGTTGATGAATGATTCATATTTGAAGCAAATATAAATAACCTGACTATTTTTCTCAAACAAAAGTTAGTTCTCATGACCACACTTGACAAACAACTCTTCCAGGAAATTTTAAAACAAATACCAAAATTTAAAGTTCACGGAATTAAAAAAAAAAGAGCTAGTTTTAAAATAAATGATTACAACAATAAATCTATTTAGATAAAGACAAAACTACTCATATTTAATAACATAAATAAAACCATATCTTTAGTAATTATTTAAATATTATAACCTCATAAAAGTTATTTTCAAAACAAGGAACAAATACTCTTGGTTGAAAAGTATAGAGATAAAGAGATATTTTATATAAATCATTAAAATCCTAAAAAATTTATACAATCATTCTATATAACTAAATTATTTCACATAAATATAAGCATTTATCAACAAACAATGTAAAACACAAATTTATTTCATATAACTATTCACAAAATATTTATATATACCATACTTAGCAATAAATAACATTTATTTAGATATGAAAGCACCAAATCCATAATACACAACATAAGCACAAAAAATTTTTCTCACAGGAAAAGAACTAAAGAAATTTAAAAACTAAAGAAATTTTTTCTAATTTTTATAGAATTCATAGTCATGAAAGACATTTTATAAATAGATAACTGTTTGGAAATTTAATCAAAACAATGAGTAAAGCACAATTAACAAGTTTCAAACAATGATGACAATTAAAAATTTAACAGGAAATAGTCATCTGATAATACAGTTAGTCATAAGGAAATGGAATGAATACTAAGTACCAGAAATATTTGTAAGAAAGGAAGATGTAGAAGAAACTCAAAAAAATATTTAATCCAAACGTAATTTTCATATTTTTTGAAGTTTACTAAGTCAGTTAAATATTGAGAATAAATTCGAAAAATGATAAACATATAATTGAAGAGCACAGTTTTTTCAATTACACTTTGAATCACCAGAAAATAAAAAATTTATTAAAGATCATAATATATAAGAAAAAATGGTACAAGAGATACTACAGTTCGTTTTAATAGAAAACATAAAAAAAAAACAGAGTTATACTAATATTGTATGCCACAACAAACAAAGGAAGAGCATCATAAATATTAATAAATAATATTTCAGGAATGGCACATTTTACTAATTATTTCAAACATGCCAGCCAATTGACCTTTAGGCAGTGGGCTCTCAAATATTTTTTAACAATGCAATTATTTCACTAATTTAAATAGGAGCTATAATGACATGGTATTGTGAGCAATCTCACTCCTTCTAGTCTTTAACTACAATTGAGGGAGAATTTACTTTATCATTAATATTTATTTTTTACCTTTTTGTTTATCATTTAAATAAATGTTATGGGCATTTTATGAAACTAATTCTTATTTTTGACAACTTTTTATTGACAAAGAATAGGTAACAAAATTTCTTTTCAGCGGTAAAAAGTTATTTGAGAAAAAATAAAGAACAATTTCCATTATTATTATTATAGCTAATTACAAGAGCAATAGATGAGTTCAATATTTTCAGATAAGAAAACTTTTAAATGGGGGAAAACAATTTACTTTAGGATAGAGAGATCAAATTTTGTATTATTAAAAGTGTATAACAATGCACTTTGTACTTAAAAATTCCTGTGAGCAAAATACAAAATTTTTGGCCTTTATTTTAACTCTTGAAAATGAGTAAGCTCTATTAGAAATAGACACTGAAGTCACTAAACTAAAAATAATGTTCTTGTTAATCTCATGATGACGCATTTAGTGCATGTTTTAAGTTGTATACACAATATTAAAATGACTAAGTATTATAAATTCATTGTTTTATACTCATGTAAAATACATAAAGAATTAAGTGAAATATACAATTTAAATGCAAAATACTCTAATGTATTTTAAAAAAGAGAATTCGATTTAATTATAATAATGAACCTTAAATTATATTTTAAATAAATTCTTATAAACTGATTTTAAATTAATAAAAATTTACAGTTTAATAAAAGAAATCATAACCAAGAGTTAGCATAATTAAGATTTCTAAAACACTGTCTATTTGAGTTTTATTAAAATAAAATTCGCATATATTGAGAAAGCTTTGAGATTAGGGTTTGAAATTAAGAAAGTACTCAGTGAATATCACAATTAATGAAATCCATAAAATGACCTCTTTAAATTAATTAGCTTTAATAATCCTAATTAAGAAAATAGACTATTTCTATTACTCTTAATAAAGTGAACATTAGTGAGCAATTTTTCTAACTACAAAAAATATCTTATTTTTAACCTATACTTAAAGAGATAAAAAATTTCAGTAATCATTGTAATCTTAAAAAAAAAAAAAAACAAAAAAAAAAAAGCCAGCAGGCNAAAAAAAAAAAAAAAAAAAAAAAAAAAAAAAAAAAAAAAAAAAAAAAAAAGAGCCAGCAAGAGTAATATATATACATATTAATCTATTTGTTAGGATTAAACACTCTTAGAGAACTGTTTATAGCTTAATTAATTAGTAAATTTGCATACTTTTAAATTGAACATGTAAGTGTTCTGTTCTTCATTATACTTTTTTTTGGTATTGAAATGCAAATAAAATATTTTCAGATTTCACAATTCTAAAACTTTTGTTAATGATCAACATTACGTAAAATATAAGTAGGTAAAATTATAGATGACAAATGGAAATTGAAAATAAGTTTCACTAGCAAAATTTTAGTAAAGTTAATTCCAGGCTGAAGAGAAAATTTCTCCCATATGATAATCTCCACAAAAAATGTTAATCATCATGAAATTAGCAAGAACTTTATATTTACTTTTGATACCACAGTATTTAATTAATCATCAAGCTCTTCAATTTCAGAATAACTAATTTGGAGACAAGATGTTGAAGGTGCAAAATGATAAGATGTCCAATCCCACGGTGCCACAGGTGCAAAAGGAAAGGCAGATGTAATCACAGAGGTGCCATCTTGAGTGTGACCGGGATCAATAACTTCAGCAGAGAGTGTGTAGTCATCAGACGCTGCTCTTCGGTGTCTAGACGGAACTTTTGGCTGCAATGCCTGATTACTCAAATTTTTTATTTTCTTTTCAACAACCTGAATCTCAGCATTAATTTTCAAATTATTTAGAAAGAGAACAGGAGGGCCTCCTCCAAGAATATGTGCCAGAGGAATCCATCTTAGATAACACTGGTGCCAAAATTTTAAAGATTTTATATAAGGATCTATCTTTAAAAGATTTTCTTCATCATCTTCCCAAACTAAAGGCTCAATTTCTAGCTTTTTAACCGTTAAGGGGCGGGACTGAGAATGTCCAGCATCTCTCAGACTACTAAATGATTTTGGCCGCTCTGTTTTATGCAATGTTTTGGTGGGGGATGCAGCGTACTTGTTTAAGATGTATAAAGGATTTGCAAAAAGTCTCAAATCATTTCTTGAAAACTGCCGTGACCATTTCCAAACACTTTGCAGCTGGAAGCTGTTGCTCTCACTGTGAGAAGATAGTGCTTCAAATCTATTTTTGTGACAATTGAATAAAAATGTATCAAAAACACTGACATGACAGCTGTCCCAAAGAGATGTCAGGTATGTTTCAGAAAACTCAAAAACAGTAGGGCATTGTTCTGTAAGTTGCCAGACACAATCAAGGAACAATAGGAATACAGGAGCCTAAAAAGTAAAAAATAGGAAATAATTAAAGATATAAAATGATATTAAATAATTCAATTAAAAAATGTACTCATTTTCATTGATGTCATAAAATTAACAACAAAAGGAAGCAAGAGTGGGAATTTTGTGGAGTAATAAAGGGAAATAGTATTCTATAAATAAAAAAATAAGAACATGTAAAGAACTACTTCTATTATACTAAGAGCTACACACATGAAGTATTAATAAAACAAAATATAAATTATCACGATAATTTATACACTATAAACAAATAATTTTTCTAAAATAATAATTTAAAAATTTATCAATTTGCACGTTTTTATGTAGGATATTGGAACAAACCATCAATTTTCTTTAACTGTATTTGTTAAAGTAGCAAAGGAATTAAAAAATAAATAAGTAATCATATTGAAAGTTGATTTCAATTTATGAGTTAATAATAGATTATTATTTATAAATTAATAGTAAAAATAATTAATTTGTTGATACCTTAATTTAGATAATAAATTTTTTTTAATAGCATTCAACAAATTAATCCTTGATCAGCCAAAACATTTATATATACATATATTTTAAATAAAGCTTTTTGTAACATGTGATGTTTGGCACAGATTCATATAAAAAGTTATGCAGTGTCAAATCCAGCAAGCATTAAAGCCATCACAGAAGTGAACTGATCCCTTTGGATGAATGTCTAGTCTAACAAAAATGCCAATCTGTTAAATATTTTATCACATAAAAAACTTTAGTGCAGTCCTTACTTGCTGAGCTATTGTAAACAGCTTTATGATTAAATTATTGGCTGCCATGAAGAAAAAATTGGCTTTTAAAAAGCATGAATAATTTGTATTTATTGTAAGGTTTTTTGCCGTATTCAGCACAGTTTCTTTTAAAAAGCATTTAGAGATCAGAAAGGGAATTATGAAATGCCCTGTATTATATTGCTCATACCTCTTCTGATTCAGAGCCACTAATTAAATGATGTCTTTCAGTGAATGCATGACCTAAAGCTACCCATTCTTTTTGAATTAATAGTTCAAAACCAGATCTACTTCGGTATATAGGATCTAACATCAATTGTACCAAGCTGGAAACTATACAATTCAGGTCTCTCCCTTCATGCTCTATAAAATTACAGAGAAAAAAACATTTCATAATTGAAATCTAAAATGAAAATTATATATACTTTAATGATAACAAAATGGATATTAACTGCTGTAAATAATAAAGTTATGATCACACATTGTAATTGGAATGTATAAATCTGGAAATAAAAGATTGTAATTGGTGCATTCTAGCAAAGAGCACTAATATATTGAGTTCATAAAGTTGTAAAAACAATAAGAAGTCTATCTGTATTGTTTAAATAAAGTAAATTTAGAAACTTGTTATTTTCAGTTATATAAGTTTTTAAAAACAAAGAAAAATATATGAGTATATGTATAGGAATTCCAAAAAGTAAGGAAAAGCACACATAATCTAGAAAAATCAGCAGCGTATTAAAAATTCGAAAAATGCACAGGTTTTATGTCTTCAAAAGATTTATTTAAAGGTTCTAAAATCCTTTTAGGGGTGGGACAAAAAGCAGCTCCAAAATTTTAAATGGAAACCTCTATTTTTGTTGCCAATTTTGATTATTTTGAAAAAAGTATCCCAATTTGAATTACAGATTTTTGTATTTTAGTCCACAGATGGTAATTGGTTAAATAAAACTAAACTAAACTAAACTCAGCGACGCGACAGCCCTAGAGGGCCAAGGCCTACTGTGCCCATCTCAGTTTTCTTGACCTTGGGCTCTGGGGTGCAGAAGCAGATGTTCCGGTCAGGTGGTCAGCCGAACACGGAACCCTCAGTGTTTAGTTCCCAAGCATGCTTGGTACTCATTTATCGACCTACTGAAGGGATGAAAGGCTGAGTTAACCTTGCCCAGCCAGAGGATCGACCAGGGACCTGTGGCACGACAGCGCAAAGCACTACCGCTCAGCCACCGGGTGTCAATTGGTTAAATAGATATAGGGTAAAAAATTGTTTAAATTACAGATATCTAAAAAAATAAATATCAGATGAAAAAAAATAAAAACAGGCGTGTTTAATATTTAGAGAAAAACTTAACCTTCACTCCCTGAAGTTGGGGCATTTGTTTACCAAGGCCCCCACTGCACAGCGGGGTTACGGGTAAGCTCTTCTCCTTGTGATTTTAAACAAGCGTCCCATGAGAGTTGAATAATAGAGGATTTTGCTATGTATATGCATATACATGGAGCGTTATTTTAATCAATCCAAAAGGGAGATGTGTAAAAATGCTTTAACATTATAAAATGCTAAATAGAAAATACTTGTAGAAACATACCAGAGAATATCACAGTAGTATTTTTTAATATACTTGTACATGCCTGTAGAGCAGTTTTTAAACAAAATGAAATATGATGAAGCCATTTAGTAGACTCCAACTTGCTAAAATAATTAGAATCAGTTTCCCAAAATTCTTGAGGTGATGCTGAAAAAATAAGTAAATATTTATTTTAAGTCAATACTCATGATCAAATATAAAAAATAAATGAAATTTTTTTAAGAGAAAACTAATTCTATTATTAATAAACTCAAAATGAATTTTAAAAAATTCGGTAAATTTTGGTACTTTTACTTCTTTTTTTCCCCCCTGTATTTTCAGACATTATTTAGCTTACATTATACATTATTTAGCTTTTTTTTTACTGAAAATAAACATTTATAACATTTATGATCATTTAAAACTTTAACTATAATTGACCTTTAAGATTTTTCTACTTCCTGTTTTTTAATGTCATTCTTTTTGTTAACTTGTTTATTTTTTTTCCATTTTAATGTTTAATACAACTTTAAATTCCAATTTAAAAGAATAGGTGAAATTCATTTGCAAGATCTTTCATCAGCAAGTATTTATTGCAGCAAGATTCTTTTGCAAATTTTTTCTTAATTTGATTGATCTAATTAAAGTATTTCTTTCTTTTATAAATGCAACTATTGATTGTTGAAAAAACTTAACTTAGGCAAATTCATCGTAAAATTTTCGTTAATTTTTCTTAAAATAATTTTTGTCATAAAAAGTAAAAATAATAAATTTATAAAAATTAAAAAATTTCTTGATTTAAGAAATTTAAAAATGAAGAAACTTACTAGGCATACATAACTCTTTTAATTTCAAAAAGCTATTTTGCACATCCTTGTAGCTAGGACCAGATTCTTCCAAGTTAAAAATGCGAACAGGGACTTGTCGGGGACTTGCTCTGCTAATAGCATCAACCATTCTGAAAAAGAAAAACAGAGTTAAGTTCGACAAAAGAGAAGGTTTTTACTCAAAAAAAAAACTGATTTTTCAATGATCAGTGCACAAAATAAAAAAAGGTGCACTCTGAATAACTGTCGATTTAATAATCAGATCTTCACATTCCAGGACTCAAACTTAATGGCTCAAGGGGGTGACCTCAATTAATTGCAACGTTATTTTAAATAACAAAATCATACACAAAAATGCACTTTCCCAGAATAAACATACAGTGGAGCATCGTTTATACGACGCCGAAGGGACCACCGAAAAACGTCGTATAAACGATAACGTCGTATAATCGATTTTTACTTCTAAAACTGAAACTAACTCTGTTTTCAGTTAATTTTAATGTTTAACGTGTTGATTTACATAAATTTCTAAATTAGACAAAGCAAAACAAACAAATAACCAAAGGAGAAAAATTGCAGTGAGCCATTTGAATGTATGTTACCTTCAATTATATTTTCTTGCTATTATTCTCTACAATGCTTTGAATAGCGAATTGAAGTTACTGCTTTCTATGATGCAATTTTAAATTTCTAATCACGGCCAAATCTAATGGCTGAAGCGCACTTGTGCAATTTGCAGGAAAAAAGAGAGCTTTTACATTTTCCAAAATAATTAGTATCGATGGATGCGCTGGACATTGGTCGATGAATAGCAAAATGTTTCATTTTTTCCTCTTCATAACATTGTCTAGTTTTTTCAGTCATCTAGTAAAAATTACGGTCGTCATCCAAGCATTCTTGTAGACACCCTTTTCTGTATCATTCATGTTGGCAAATTCCGCCCTTTTTTAAAATACACAAGAAAAAATAAAAAATTAAATAAAGAACAAAATCTAAAAATCGACGTATAACCGATTCTGTGCGTCGTATAAACGATATATTTTTACATTAAAATGAATGGGAATGATTTGGGACCACACTAAAACGTCGTATAAATGTAAACGTCGCATAAGTGATCGTCGCATAAACGATGCTCCACTGTACTTTTTTTATTGATAGATTCGGATTTCTGCCCCACAGTATAGGGGGCAGCCGCAATCTGGGAAATACGGTCCCATTAGTTAAGTCAGGAGAGGTTTGTTAAGAGGTAATGTTAAGTTTAATTTTTGAGCATTCACCATATCTCGAAAATTCTTGAAGCAAATTGAAAAAAATTTGCACACAATTATGAAATTCGTTTATCCAAAAATAATTCCATGCAAAGTATAACTTAGTATACATCTATTATTTTATCTAAACATCTATAATAGGAAAAAGTATACATCTATAATAGGAAAAAATCTGAATTGTAAGGCATATAGTTTTATAACTTACAATTCAGATTTTTAAATTATAATTTTAAATGGTTGCAAAATAGTATATATGAGGGAAAATGGGTCAAAAAGTTTCTAAGAAATCATATTTTGAAAAAGTTTTTTTTTTAAAAATTCATTTCTCAGTAACTATTTGATGGATTTTACTAGTTCAACACACAGTTCAAAAATTTGCTACAGCAAAACCTTTGTTACATGGAAGATAGATATTCTTACTGTTATTTCAGTAAATGTTCAAAATTTTTTTAGTTGATGCGATAAGTTCAGAAGTATATAGTCGTGTTTAAAACATAAATAATATATATTAGACATTTTTTAAAATCGTTAATTTTTATTGCTGGGATAAATAATGCTAGTGGTCTCAGAAACAGGCACAAATGAGAATGGATTGGGTGCACAGAATTTTTGACTTTCCTTCATAACAACCACTTCATTATATGGAGAATATTTTATATGTTCTTTAACATTTCAATAAAAAATTTCAAGAGAAATTTACTTCAGGGAGATTCTATTGTATTTAGTATAAATACTTTTAAATTTCTGTTTTTTAATTTAAATTTACGATGAATAATATAAAATCATTCTCTTATTGATTTAACTTTTTTTATGAAAATAATAAAAATAAATACCATCTTAGCATATTCAATTTTTTTTAAAAAAGGTAGTAACTTTTGTTTTTATTATAATTATAAGAAACAAAATTAACCAGTGGGCAATTGAAGAAATATTTGTTGATTGAAGATTCTGATGATGCATTTCATTATTCCATTACAAAGTGAGACAGGCAAGCAATTATATATTAAACATCCTAAACTGCTTTTATAGAGAAATCAAATATGATAAAGAATGAAAAACTTTTAATTGAACAATTTGCTTTGCCCACTTTTCAGTCAGAAACTTTCATACTCACAAAAATAAAATAAAAAGATTTTATCTGTTTAAAAAAAAAGACATTTTAAAGTACATCAAAGTAAATATAATAACCATAAATTAGGCTACAAACAAAAATAAATTTTTTAAACTTACACATCTTTTTGTCGACTATCTGTTATACTAGGATCTAAAGCTGCCATTCGTACAATAGATGCACCTGATGATAAGCCCCAACTCCATGTCTAAAAGTAAATGCAAAAAGATTTTAGGAAATAAAAACACGAAACAGTTTTAATTATCAAAAAATAACAAATAAATAATAATGTTAAATAGATAACTCAATTTAGACATTTTTAGAGTTGAGCATGATATTCTAAAGATAAAAAAAATACAATTATCTATTAAACTCCAAAGTTCAAGCAAAAAACTTCAAAATGAAGTTAGTAAAATACTGCAAAATACATAAAAGTATGCAACTTGTAAAGATATTGTAAACTTTATGTTAATTTCAAGTGAGATAGATATTGGAAGCAGGATCCATTTGTAAGGTATTGTTAAAAAATTTAGACGAAAATTCTGACACTAAAACTAAAAGATTGACTTCCATTATGAGCATATTTTCTTTAAGTTTAGGCAGTTGTATAACAGCTTTAATGAAAAAGTAGAAACTTGAAAATATAATTTTTCTAGACTTTTGTGGATAATTTTGTTTGCAATTACACTATACTTAAAGAAAAATACTTAAACATACTCAATTGGAATAGTTTTAGAAAGGTTATTAGATATGATACAAAAATATAATTAAAAGAGAATTAAGAACTCTTGGAACAATATGATTCATGTGATTATTGACGCAATTTGTTGAAGAAGTTGGTCTGGATGATTTTTTAATTTTTTTTTATCTTCTCTCAATGTTATCTATTAAATTTTATTGATTTTAATTATAATTTAAAAATTTATGATTTATAACTAAATGCAAAAAAAATTACATTATAACTTATTTTTAAAACTAAAATTGTTCATTACTTAATGCCAAAAGTCTTTATAGCCCTGAACAAGAAAATTTTTTTACTAATTCTAAAATTTTTCCTTCTTAATTTTACTACACACTTTAGATAGATCAGATTTGGTTTTCAAAACAAATTATCATCTTAATGTTTTAAGACATTAAGAAAAAAAAATTTCATTGATGACAAGAAAAATAAATTAAAGTGCCACAGAACAAGCTGTGAAAGATGTGATAGGTAACATAAAAATGTCTTATACTACAAAGAAGCATTTACAATGAAATTATGTGTGGTCGTAGTGATGACTTATGCAACTGTAAATTGCTGAGATTCTAAAAACTGTCAGAGTTCAGAATAAACTTTCTTGTTTCAAGCATGAGTATCCACACTGTATACTACGTACAAAATTTCAAAAGTCATATACAAAATGACAAAATTAAATACTGACATACTTACAGGAACTCTGTGACCATTAAAATGAGGAGCTGTTTTGTTAAGATTCATGTCTAATAAGATGGAAGGAACCACAAATGATTCTGGAAGACTAAAATTAAAAAAAAAAAAAAAAAAAATAGATATTTAATAATCAATTAATTTAATACAGAAAAATTATGATCAATTATTCTCTTACAATTATTATTTTATCAAATTCATCAATTTTTTTTTGATCAATTATTATCTACAAAAAAACAAGCACCTTTTAAGTCTTCAGAAAAAAAAAATCGTAATTAAGTTATGTATACTAATACATTAACATTAAGAAAACGCAAAATAATTTTAATAGATTTTACATGATCATAATAAAATAACTAGTTTCTGACAAACAACTCTTTCTTGATTATATTAGCCACCTTAAAAACAATTTATACACAATTTTAAATATAATATATTGAGTGTTTCATTCTATCTTCCAAATTAATAATCACTTTATTTAATTATGTGAAAAAAATTTAATTCCAAATTAAAATTAATTTAATTATTAGTTAAAAGTGTTATTGAGTGTATTTTCTTGATTTAAATAAAAGTTATTTATAAAAGCATATTCACAAAACATTAACAAGATCAATATTATTGATTATAAAGAATTCTAAATATATGTAGAGAATTAAACAAATTAAGACAACTTTAATAAATTCATATTACAAATGTAAATTAGAGAATGGCCCTAAATTTTTTAAAAAAATTTGTTACTTGGTTCAGAATTTCTTTAAAGAAATAATTACATTTTTTTCAATAATTTTGAAATGTAAATACAATGAGTATTAAAGATAAACATTTTTTTCAGAAGTAAATTATTATATGATCCCTACACTAATAATGAAACAAAGTCACAAACTTGACTATCTCAACAAATTGGAGATAATTGAAATTTTTATTTTAGTTGCTTTTAAATAAAATCATTAAGAGAGCAATTGAAATTTTTTTGCAAAGACAAAGCTGAATAGCATAAGATTTCTTGTTGCATTCAAAATATTAAATGTGCGTCACTTCACACTCTTTTAAAATCTTGCCTCCACATATTCAGTTTTTTCATAAAACAAATTAAGGGCACTGAAAATTTCAAAAGTAATAATACAATAAAGTAAAACAAAAGTAATACAGTGCAATAAAAGTTTTAAAAAATTATGCAATTAGTAGATTGGAAAAATCTTAAGTTTAAAACTCTCTTTTAATCCTTATTTTCAATTAGTAATTAAATGAATAAAAGGGAGATGGAAATTTTGAAATGATGAACTTTGTGATTCTTGACTGCTCCAGGGAAGCTCTGAATTCGATTTCTACAACGTTAGCCAGTGTCGACAAAAATGCATTACAAATGGGTTTAATAAAGCATGCTTCTCTGTATCCAACGTGAATTGGCCCTTAAAATTGCGTGGCTGAAGATTTTGTATAGGAAAAATCCAGTAGATTTTACGAAATAATATAAATTATATGATAAATCTTGCATAATGTACTAAATATTTTACACATAGAGAATTTTAGGGATTTTTATAGTCATTAAAAGAGGGTTCTCAATAAAAATAAACAGAATATTTTAGAACAAAAAAGTTTCAGACTGATTTCTACAAATGAGGTTCGCTTCATTATTATGTATTATCATAAAATTTATTATGCACTTCATTATATTACTATTTACTTCATTATGTATTATCATGAAATTTATATTATTTATATATTCAAGCAAGGAAGCAACAATAATCTGTACAAAATATTATTTCAATAGGTTTTTTAGGAAATTTCCTCAATTTTAGGAAATTTTCTAAAATGTAAAAAAACCAGGAGAATTTTAAATAACCCAATAGACCAGGAGAAACTGGCAAAATCCAGTAGTCTACTGGAAAATCCAGTATAGTTGGCAGCTATGTCTCCAGAAGTCGATTATGTGCATATTGACTATAACACACACCATTACTTTTCTATTACTTCAGTATCTGATTTAATGCCTGCTTCTGATGATAGTCACGAAAACAATGAAGATGAGTAATATTGAAATTATTAAATATAATATTGAAGAATTTACCCACAATCGATCAAGAATTATAAAGCATCAAAATTCTGAAACAATATTTATTTGCTAATACCAAACAGCCAATATCAACAATATTTATTTGCTTTTATAAACAAAACAGCAAATTTGCAAACATTAGTAAGCATTGTTTAGGATATTGCTGAAATAATAACTAAAAACGAAAAACAAGCAAATATTACAAGTTTTTTTTTACTGGTTCAATGTATTGCTATATGTAAATTTTAAAAAAAAAAAAACTTTTATTTTTTTTACCCGTAATTTACGTTTCCCTCGCTTTGTGCGTATTTTAACGCCAGTCCAGAAGAAAACATGAAATCGGGGTTCCACTGTAAATATATATAATCTTTAGAGCATTAATTATACTGCTTGACAGTCAATGACTTTATTTATAAGCTTAAAATATTGAATTCAAGCTTGGGGTTAGTTGCGCTAACTGCTACTTAGGCATTGACAATACTTGATAAACAACAGGAAATCACCACTGCTTGGATAAAAAACTATTGATGAATCTAAATACCAAATTTGGTACTAATATGGTTGAAATATCCTCTTTAATGATAATATAATAACATGTAGCATAGTGAGTAAGCTAATAAGACAGGTAAGTAATTTTGGGGAATACAATCTTCTACAATGTTTTTCAAATTTGGAATATTATCTGGAGTTTAATTATTACAACAATCAAATTGGATTTAAACTTTTTTTTTTAAAATTCTTAATTTGCGATTGCTTAAATTTATGAGGATGATATTTATCCCTGGTGGTAAACAAGAAAATTAAAAGCGTTTCTATCTAATTACGTTCGATTAAACTTTTATTCTGTTTTCAACCCTTATAACTTCTATTAACTCTTCAGATTTGGATCTTTCCAAGTTCACCGACTTTTAGAAAAACACTGAATACAATTTCAAAGAATTTCTATAGCTTTAAAATGCTATTACACACTGAAACAAGCCTGAACTATTTCAAAAATCTAAATTAATTTTCAATTAAATTTCTGAAATTAATTTGATAAGCTAGAAGAAAACTGAAGTAAGATGGGAAATATTTTACCTTTCACATAACAAGAATTTTTCATTTGCTAAGGTGACTCTCCAACCAGGACAATTACATCTTTCAAGTTCTGATTCCCAATCACACACTCGTGTAAAAAGTAATGAATGGCTATCTATTTCATCAGATACTAAAATAAACAAATGAATAAATACAGTTTTATTAAAAACTAAAAAAAATACTTCATTAAAATGGATATTTCTGAAAGGAAATAGCAAAAAATAAAATAAAATTATATGCATTTAATATCTACTTATAGGTAAGACCTTTTGTTCTTACCTATTAAAGAAAAATCCAAAGTGAAATCTAATAATTCATATTTTCATCATTAGATTTTTAATTATTATAAAAAAGAATAAAAAACATTTGATATATAGCAGAATAAAGACAAAAAGAAAAAAACAAAGAAAATTATGAAAATCAATAAGTTATATTTACTGTAATTACTGCATACAGAGCTCATTCTAGGCAGAAAAAAAGGCAGGGTGCAAAAGTTTAAAAAAAAGGGTATTATTATTCTAAAAAGGCAATAATTTCCTTCTATGGGCTTTACACGTTCTATTAAAAAACATTGTCAATTTTTTTTTTTTAACTTTACTAAAAGTAGCAAAGCAATCATATTAATTACTAATTTTTATTAATAAATTAACATATATATATCGAGTTTATGAGCTAATTAGCTTAGTTATTTATTTAAAATGCATGCATATATTAATAAAATAATAAATGTATGTTATTAAGTGTCTGTAGTTATGATTTAATAATAAAAATGATTAATAATAATTAATAATAATTATGATTTAATGATAGTGAAGTAACTGCAAACTTTCAAAGACAAGTGCAACAGGGGGTGCAATGGCTATTTTTCCTTTCTCATATAAATCAATGTATTGAGAGCAATGACAAACTAAATAAAAAGAGTTGAGAATAACAAAAGTTTAAGGAATCCATTGTAGAGTTTGGGAAAAAAACAAAGAAGGGTTGAGGAAAGAAAGGGCAAAAAGTGTATGGAGTCTATTACATCAGGGCACTAATTTACTTCAGGGGCAACAGGGTGGATTCTTTTGACAAAAAAGGCAGCAGGGTGCTGCGCCCTGTTTACCCTGCCTAAAATGTGCTGCATATAAGTTGCAAGTATATAGAACTCATAAAATAAGTTAAAAAATATAGACAAAACATGCAAAATAATGAAGTTAAATGAAAAGAGAAACATTCATAATTTTTGATAAAAATTTCCCCCCCTTCATTCTTACCTTTAGAACTATCTTTGTAATCAAACGCGAATAGCAGATTTATTCTGGGAGGAAATGCATGGTGTAGAATTGTACTTATCACCTAGAGGTAATAATAAGATAAAATAAATGAATAAAAAAATTCTGTGTTGTTGATTAAATCTTACTGTAAAGTGCAAAAAAATAAAAATGAAATAAGTTTCATATTTATTGTACAATAAGATAGAATGTTTGTAATAATGCAGGCAAAGAATGTAAAGAATATGTATCGACTCAAGCTTTTTTTAGAGAATCATTCACAAGTATATCCAAAAAAGCAGCAAAAAAAAAAAAAAAAAAAAAAAAAAAAAAAANTGGTAAAATGAAAAAAAAAAAAAAAAAAAAAAAAAAAAATTGGAATTAATTTGGAAATTCTACAAATAATGTGCAATAGACAAATATTTTTGTAGAAACACTATAAAAATTGCCAAAAAAAAAAAAAAAAAAAAAAAAAAAAAAAAAAAAAAAAAAAAAAAAAATTGTAGACATTTTTCATGTACAGTTTAAGAGTACATACAATGCAGGGTTCGTTGATTTAAATCAGCTTGATTTAAATCACGATTTAAATCTTGATTTAAATCAAGTGATTTTTTTAAAAAAATCATTGATTTAAATCAACTGATTTTTTGAAACATATATATATTGATTTTAAAAGTTAAAAAACAGTGTTTTAAATTATTGATTCTCTTATTATTTTCTTTTCTTAGTCTTAAATTTTTTTTTAAATAGCTGCATTAATTAATTTTAGTTAATGAAATTACTTTCTTTCTTGGGTGTGTGTTAAATTCCAACACACTTAAAATTACATTTTTAAAAATCTTTTTATTCTTGAGATTGAAAGTACAGATTAAAGTAAACATTTAATGCTGTCTTAATATAGACTTGCAAAGCTGTAGAAAGTAAATATTAAACATGAATTTTTTAAAAAAAAAATTCAAATAATGTTAATTAAAATTCTACCTTTTCATTGAAAAAGCATGGAATTAAAATCTACATTATATTTTATTGGTGGAAAATGTATATTTCGAAAGCTTGCGGTTATGTTAAAAAGCAATTACCCTAATATACCAAAAAGAGAAGAAAAAAAAAGGCTGATGAATTCAGATATTTTTTTTCCTGTTATAGTGTTATTCTTCCCTTTCGAATTCTTTCAAAGTCTATTTGAAGCAGTAGGGTTATTAACTGGTATTTTTTTTTTCTTCACATTTACAGTATCTTTGACATTATCAGATTTTCTATAAAGAAATTTTGTGAGAAAAACAATTTCCAATGAGTACACAGATTTGTTTTAAATATTTTTTTAGCTTATCTATTTTGATGTAGGATTAAAAATGAATATTTTAAAATAAAAATATTGATTAAATATTTATTTATTTTTTGATGAATGACTACATTTATAAACACAATCTGTTACATTTATTTTGTCATTTTAAAAATCAAGAGGAAAAAAAATCATAATTTTAAATTAAAATTATGGTTTGCTAATTGAAACTTTGTTTTAATAGTTAAAATACAGGGATCTGTCCAAGCCCAATTTACTACCGTTTAGCGGTACCTTCACAAATTCAACTCTAGGAAAAACAGTAGAATAATTTAATAAAATACTTTTTCTACAAATTTCATTTTTGTGTCTCATAAGAAACTATAAATCCATATTTATGTGTTGATTTTTTAATATAATTCTTAATTTTCACAAAATAGGTACCTCTCAGAAAAACCTAGACAGAAAGTTTGAAGTATCCTTTAAATTCTCTATTTCATCTAGTCTTTAAATTTCCCTTTTGCATTTGTTTCAAAATGGTTGCTATGCATTCAAAGCTATGTATTATAATGAAAATTATTTTAGTAAGTTAGAGCTTCTAAAATATTGTTATAATATAGTTTTAATATTTATTTAATTTGATTAAACAGTTAAAGTTTTTTTTTATTTAAATTAAAGTTTTTACAGTGTTTTTGAATAAAAATCAAAAAAATCTGATTTAAATCAAAAAAATCCGATTTAAATCAAAAAAATCTGATTCTTTTGATTTTTTTTAAAAAAATCAAAAAAATCACGAACCCTGATACAATGTAAAGAATATTTAATATTTTCCAAAATTTTGCAAGGGGAATTTTTTAAAGGAAATCCAAAATGCAAAAGTAATGTTTAGAGACCAGCATAAATTTATTCTGCAAATTTTAAATATATTTGACAGCACTTTTACGTAAAATTCATAAAAATAATTGACTAAGTAATTATGAAAATAACGCTTTTATGTCATTTATGCACAAATACAAGTCTTTTTTTTTCTTCAAATAATTAGAATTTGAAATGATTTTAATCAATTAATATGAACTGTTCATAATTTTATCATACACTAGAATTTGTAACAAATATGTGGAGGAAATTCGCTAATTAAACCGAAGTCGGACAAAATTATCAATAATTTATTTATCAATAATATTATTTCAAGCTATAATGCATAAAAATTAATCAAAAATTGATAACTCTGTAGTATTTTACAGTTGCATTTTGAATTACTTTTGAGTCTTTCTGTGATTGAACTTTGGCAAATGTCTGAATGTACAACATGTTTGATGTACACAGGTAGCATGAAATAGTGTCATTTATTGATTCCAGATAAGACATAGGATGTGGATGGCAATAAATTATTTTTTCACAGTCAAATTCTGCATATTTTAAACATTTAGTTATTAATGGAAAGATACATAATCAATAGTAGGTTGTGGCGTAACTACCACTACAAATATTAAATACCAAATCACTAATATATAAGACATGTTAACTTGATTCTATCAAGTGTTACCTTTTGATAGATGAAGGTTGACATAGTCGAAAGATTAAAATCCCCTCAAGGTATAGAATAATTCATTAAGAATAATTTAAAATTCTTTTCATTTTTTAATTGCAGAGGAAAAAATATTTTAAAATTATTTTAAATATTTTTTTATTAAATAAATAAATCTTGAATTTTTAAAAATATACTGCTAATTATTGCTTTTAAATTAAAATTTTTTTTCAAGATTTAGCAGCTTCATAATAATTTTATTTATTAAAATATTTCAAATACTTTCAAAACATATTTTAAAATGCTCCTCTGCATGTATTTTGCCCAGTTTATAAATAGGAAAGTAAATTTAAAACCATGACAATTACATATTCTTAAAATTTTTCACGCAGAATCAAAAGTTGCATGCTAATTGTAATTTTCAGGGGTGATTGTGAGCCCAAGTCAAAATTCCGGAAAATTCATTGAGTTAAAAAGTTAAAAAAGAAAAAAAAGAACTGTTTAATTGAAAAATTAGAAAAAAATTTAAACAAGGTTTTTTTTCCTTTTTCTCAATATTTCTTAGTTCACTTAAAAATATTTAAAATTTTACACATACCTATACCATTTACACATACCTGGAGAAGTAATTAAAATTTACAAATATGTCTTTCTTTCTTGAGTTTATGATTATAACAACTATTTACTGATAAAAAATTAAAATTAATCATGAATATGAGCTTATAAAGTATCGCTCTGGCTGTCCCTTACAAACAAACAAAATAAACTGTGTTTTTAAGTTCCACCTTTGAAAATTTGATTTCCGGAAACTTCTGTGATAATGATTTTTTGAAACGTCTGGACCTTCGATCTCTGGAAACTTCCGGATCACTGTTAGCGTAAATTCAGGAAATCCGGATTTTTTCCGGAGCACAATCAGCCCTGAATTTTGTATGAAATAACTTAATATTTTTCAACATACTTTCTTTTCGTTGATTATTCAATTATCATTAAGAATTTAGAGCAGAAAAAAAAGTCACATGCAGATATTTTTGAATAAAAAACTAATTTTACACATTGTACAAACATTAATACTGAAATTAAAAATACTTATTATATAAATATGAAATTCAATATTACTTTAGTTATTGGAACTTATTATTTAGAAAATCTTGAATGAAAGCTCATATTTTTCAAACTACTTTAAAATAGAGGAGCATATCACTAACAGAAATTATAGAATAGTAGCAGCAATTCTTATTTTTTTTATAAAAAATAATAAATAAAATTACAGTTTTATATTGGTAAGCAAATAAATAATTGAATCATTAAAATGAAGTGCCTTAATGAAATTTCAGAAATTAAAGCTTCCTCATTAAAACAACTTATCATTCAAATAAACATGATTATACTAGGGTATACATTATTGAAATAAAACATTTTAAACAAATTCTACATAAATCAAAATATTAATTTAAAACACCATCAATAGCAACAAATCAAAAACAAATTTAATCAACAATTAAAGAAATATAACTCACTGATCTTTGGCTTAAAGGAGAAAACTTAAAGCTAAATGTGTAGATTCGAAGATCCTAGCGAAAAAATTATTTAAGCATGAATATATATTACAAAAAGTTTAATGTAGCTGATAATAACGTAATAACTAAAGATAAATATTAAATAAATACAAGCTTATTTGATGCTTTAGATAAACATTTAGAAATGTCTAGTTCAATTTTATGTGCTAAAAACAAAAAATGCAAATACAAACAACTTTAAATAATTCATGTATTACAAATAATCAATTTAACAAATATATTATGCCATGCAATTTTTTTAAAAAAAAACTGCAGTTTTAAAACAGTTGAACTTAATTAATTAGAATTCAAAGAGGTCCAGAAAATTTGTTCACATTAAAAGCACTTCATGCTATCAGTTCAGAAATTTATTTTTTATAAATAATAAAATTAGTGGTTTATAAAATCAGCAACTTTTTAAAATCAAATCAGCAAGAACAGAATCATTACAAAATCAAAACATGTAAAGGCCATCCTTCAATAAAATAATAATGGAAAACTATGTTTCTTTTCTTGTCGGATTATTAAGAAATTTTTTTTTCTAAGTGCCAACCCGCCTGTGTAGGGGGCAGGGAACTGTCCTTGCATCAGAAAGGTTCTGGGTTCGAATCCGGGAAAGGCATGGATGTTCTTTCCCTCTCTGTACTATCTGTCCTCAATGAGGGAGCGACGTTGGCCCAACTAATATGGTGCCCCTGAAAGAGAGGCCAATAAAATCGCCCTGTATATGTATTCTGTATATGTCTGAATTGACGGATGTTAACACAGGTGGGCATTAGAAAAAAAAGATTTTTTTCTTTCTAAGTATTGAAAGACGCACAGTATATAGTTTGTAACCCAGAAACAAAAAGAACAACATTCCAGGTTTGGATTGTCTTGGTGAAATTGAAGTGTAAGAAAGTAAAAAACAAAATAATTCAAATGAAAACTAGTTATGGATTAAGGAAAGGTATTGAATGGCCATCATCATTCAATGATAATCAGCTGCTCCTCCCATTAAGAAAGAATAAAAGGTATTGAATTGTAATCCATCTGCACCCATTTTTCGTAATTTTTTTCTCGACAACATCAGCGATAATAATCAGACTTGTGCTTGCAGATAACTGTGATATAATGAACGGGGAAAGGAGCAAAGGTTTTGACTTACAAATACCTTCAATGTTTTTTTTCTTCGCTTAATTTAAAGTTATAGTCCGGTTACTGGGCATAAATTTTTCTTGGAATCTACTACAGTATTTTTTTTAAGTCAACAAAATACTCGGTAGTTTTGATTAATGGATTTTAGGTTAACTCAAATTTAATTAGTCTTCAAAAAATTTCGCTTTTAAGGTTAAGTAAAATTCAATTTGGCCCGAAAAAATTTCACTTTCAGTGTAAACAGAAATTTTTGTTTCACTCTTATCAATAAAGAAACACACAAAATTTCTTATCTTCTGTCATTTAGTGCTTACCACTCATTAAAATCCAATTCATATCAAATATTGATCTGATATGAGTTTATAAACCAGTATATCTACACTTAAGAAGAAATTTGAAAACATCAATGAAGATTTTGCACATGTGCATCACTTCACGCTAATATGAGGGAAATTTTTGTCACGGCTAATAGAATTTAACTTCACTTAAAGAAGATATATTTTATGAAAAGCATTTTTATGATATAATTACTTAAATGACATGATTATATCTGTATAAAATATGACAAGAAATCAAAAACTAATTTATGTTTAAAGAAATTCACATAAAGCATCTTCAAGTTGATAAGCTGTGACTATGTACCTTTAAAAGTGGATATAAATTTGAAAATAAGTTTACATAACTTCCACCCAAACAAAACTATCTTATAATAAATATATTAGACTATTATACAATATTCTGTAATTATAAAATCTACAAATGTAGAATGAAAAAAAAAAAAAAAAACAGAAACAAATATAATATGACAAAAAGGTCAATGCTTTCCATTATAAGATATAAATAAATTAATAAAAAGATTAAACTAAATAGATTAAGTAAATGATTCAACTAACTAATAGGTCAATAAAAATACATTTTATACTTTCCGAATGGTAACACACGTATTATCCATAGCATGAGATTCAAGCTGGTAATTAAAATCCCAATATCGAAAAGCATATAATTTCAATAATAAGCTAAAAAGGAACTTACTTTGCAATGAATTTCTAAAATTTCAATGTTTGAAACTGCATTGGATATAGAAAGCTTTTTTCGTTTTCCATTATTGACTAAAAAAAGAAAAATAGCAAATTGTAAATCTTGAGGACTGGTTAACAACATAAATGGAGGGCGGAACATGCTTAGACTAAAAATGACATAACTTACCATGATATACTGCATCAATATTGATAAGGCACAAGTCGAACTCTCCTAACAAAGCATTTTTTTGATGCTAAAATGTGGAAAGTATATTATTTTAATTTTAGGGACAATATAATCAATAATATATAAATAAAAAATATATATCATACAAACCAAATTAGAAGGATAGTTCTCAGCAGTTAGAAAGCTCACTTTGAAATTCGTGCATAGAAGAAGACCTGAAAGTCCTTTATTCAATTCACTGAGAGTATTAAATTTCAATACATTTTCTGCTTGAGCAATGACTATTTCTCCATTCAAGAGCACAGGAGTTGGATAAGGGTCGTCATTGCATGCCAGTTGACTTTCCTAAAATCAAATTATCATAGTTCAATATATATATGTATATATTATCAATTTTCAAAAATTTATATAAATAATAACAATTAATGAACATAAATATCTAACATGTTATTAATATATCTCATAATAAAAAATTCTTGAAAAGAATAAATGCAGTTGGGCTTTTTTTACTTAAAAAGAAAAAAGTTAGAGTTGTCAGTAAACCTTGTTAGTTTCTAAAAACTGTAAAATCTAATTTCGTACCATAATAAACATAGGTGACAAAAAGTCGAATGCAAAAAATAACGTTTTTAGACCACAGCAATAAATCTTATTTTAATTAGGAAAGTAATAAAAACCAAAAGAAAATATCCTTATTTAAAAATTATTCACAACTATTGACTCTTTTTCATAATTCCTATTTAGTTTTTCTACGCTTGGGTGTTAGCTTTACTTATGTATGTATTGTATTTCAAATTTTTTGCCTCTTCTCTTTCAACTATTATCTTTAAACTGTTATTAAAAATAGTTGTTACAATTTTTAGAGTTTTGAAAGGCATGAATGTTTTTTTTTTTATTCTCGAGAAATGTTTATTTTTATTGTAAGATAGAAGTTTGATTCTATAAAAATTCAACAAATCTTGTGGAAATTATAAGATTGTTGATGAAGAAGATTAAACCAATTGCCTAATTAATAACTAAATGCAGAGAAACCTCGGTTAAAAGGACACTCTTAGGATCAAAAATTTTTCCATTTACGACAGTTGTCTATTAACGGGAAGGGTATCCTAATAACAAAGTTTAACACCGTAAATTGTTTTTACAATATTTTCAATGATATAGAAATAATTAAATAATCTACAATAACTCTCTACAAGGATATTTATTATAAAATAACTCTATTATTCTACAATAACTATCTACAAGGATATATATTTATTTATATATACAAAAAGAATACAATAAAAAGTTTGATATAAATACATAATGCTAGTTGTAGCTACAGATAAATGAATACGATTTTCCTATTAGTACAGGTATTCAAGTTAGGCATATGATACTGAATCGGAACTTTTAGTCCTCAGTAGGTTTCAGTTATTAGATTTACACCTCCTAACACCTACCAATCACTTGATAAGAAATGTGGTTAATAGCTCCCGCGATTCATCAAAAAAAGAAAGCAATGCTTGCCTGTAAGGTATGAGGACCTATAGAGTTGATATATTCACCATCAATCATCTATCAAGTGTCCGAATAAATGTTTTATTTATATAAACGCCTCAAAAATTAATTATACTTCTGTTCCCTTTCTTTCTTACCTCAGCTATATAAAATACAGTCTTCATATTGAAAAAGAAGAAATAGAAATTTAAATTCCAAATGTAGTATTCTAAGAAAATATTTCCACTTTTACAAACATCATGGGCACATTTTTAATGACACTAAATAATTTTTTTTCGTAAATAAATAATTGATCAATTTATATTTATTCATAAAATTAATAAATAGAACATTATGATAATAAAAATTAATTTCTGGCAATTTTTTAAATAAAATATTATAAATTTAAGAATTGTTTAAATTTACTTAATGCGTAACACATTAAAAGCGATACATAACTAAGTTCTGTTATTTAAAATATGTCAATTGAAATTATTAAAAATTAGAGTGATTTTGTTTCCATTATTCGTCCGAAATAAATATTCTGTGTAGAGCAATATAGGCTAAATACCAAATATATGTATATTGCATCTCTAATTTAGTAGCAACAATTGTTGAGCAGAATCTTGTGTATATTTATAATTCAAAAACTTCTTGTAAAGGGTTTTAGTAATTTTTGCAATAACAGGACTCTATTTGCACAACAGCAGGACCCTGGTAGAAAGAATGTGCCTTAACACTTATTTTATATTCACAATTAATGAGTAGTTTTTTTTATAATTTTACAAAAACAAGACCTTTCACAAAATGCCTGGATAGACCCCAAGCTATTTTGAAATAGAATTTTTTTTTCTTCAAATTCCGACAAAAAATTATTTATTTAATCTACTTTCTTAATTGTAAATTTCACTGCACAAAAAATATTTACTGAAAATTTTTAATCTTTGAAGGGGCTACCCCTCTTCACTGAAAATAGGAAGATTTCCGTATTGTAACCTAAAACAAAATAATGGCAAAGTTTTGGTGACTTCTGAGCAGTTACATGTATGAAACTAATGGATATACCTAATAATAATGAAAGAAGGAGACAAGCTTGAAGGGTATAACTTGCTAACCCCTAAATGTTTTTTTTTCTTTTTTCCAAAAGAAATTTGCAAGTTTAAAACCCATTCCACAGCTCGGTGATTGTAGTTGTTGCAACAGATCACAATACAAAAAATATCCCTCTGATAATATGTGAGAGGACTGTCTTTTACGATAAAACTAATCAGGGGTTTGTCCAGCTCAAATTTACTACCGTTTAGCAGTACCTTCACAAATTCAACTTTAGGAAAAACGGTAGTTTCACAAAATAATTTTTCTAAAAATTTTATTTTTGTATCCCGTAAGAAACGATAAATCATATTTTTTTTACACATTATTGTGTTGATTTTTTTAAATAATTTTAAATTTTCACAAATTTTGTCTAAATTTGTTACCTCACAGAAAAACCTAGACAGACCCCTGCTAATGATAAACACGAGCATTGTAATGGAATTGAACAATAGGAAACAATGTTTATAACTACTTTTTCATTCTTTATCAAGGTTTTTTTACAAGGTTATCTTGCTTTTAACTACGTGCAATTTCTAGAAGACTTTTTAAAGTTACTGCAAGCAGAAATTTTTGAAAAATATAAAGACAATTTTAATTACAACAAGGGTTAATACAATTAGGGTCATTTGAAAAAGATGCTTGAATTTACTTCTCGTTTAAAAACTATACAGAGACTTTACTAAACAAAAACACTTTTTTTCCCGTTAAAACTATTTTTAACAAGATTTATATCGTAAAACTAAATGTTTACAAGTGCTTAAATATATCTTCCAAACCTATTGACTTAATTTACCTCCTCTTTGACTTCCCTCCGTATTGATGAAATAGGAGAATCAATATCATCTGAATTGTTTGAATCTAAATCAACGTACGATTTGAAAGTTTTTACTGAATTCGATCTAGGTTTCCGATTTAAATCTTTTAACCAATTAGTTGTCATGGTTTGAAAAATCAACTAAAGCTTAAGAGGTCACAAATAAATAAAGGAAGCAGAAAGAGTGTAGCCATAGTTTTGAGTAGATAACAATTTGCTTATTGTATTAGCAATTGATGAAATATCCTTTTCATAATTAAATTGAATAGACCATAGGCGTATCTCTCTTAATATCACCTGTAGGAGCAAATTCAATCAAAACTAAGTAAAAGTTAAAGTGTGTAACGCACCTACTGTAAAATTTGAGCTTAGTTTACTCAAATTCTGACCAAATAATTATTAAAATGGTACGCTTTACATAGATTTTGTTTTTCCTTTAATTCAAACATAATTTTTTTTAGAATAGTCCTTTCTCAATAAAATAGTTTGTAAATTTACTTTCACTTCAAAAGCGCTACATGTGGCAATTTTAAGAACTATCAATAGCAGTAATGAATCTATACAAATAAAACCACTATAATTATAGATAATATGTTAGCACAATTATTTGTGGTGGTCGTCGTTGAATCCGAAAGAAGAAAGGAGATTTAGAAACATAACATAACTGACTTGATGTTAACATTCTTATTGAAATGGAATGCCCCCATCTAAACAATTCTATTAAAATTGTGAAATCCGTCAATAGAGATAAATCCCTAGAATGGAATTGTTTTAGTGCGTACACAATTTTATTGTTTCTTTTTTCACCGCTAATATACAGCAAAATAATACTCATGTTTATGCAATAGTTTTTTTTTTATTATAAAAACATTTCACGTGTTTATCTTAACATGTATTTCTAGACGAAATAAATAATTTCAGATTAAAATTCTTGTGGAAATTGCACAAAATTTACGTGTAGTTAGCCTGTAATTTTTTTTCTCTTTTTGCTATGTGCATATTATACAGTACCTTCCATTGTTAAAGTTTTTCGTTTGATTTTTCAAATTTCTTTGTTAATTTTATTCATATTAACTCTTATTAATGTATATTTTATCAATTTATATTTCCTAGTTCTCCTTAAACTTGTCTCTTAGAAGCTATAAATTAAATTCACAGTTATTACTGTTACTTTATGCAAATCTCAGAATAATTGCCTATAAGAAATCTCAGATATATTTACATTTTATTCGCTTTAATTTGTATCATTATTTAAAAGTCCTGTATGAATAATTATGATTTTTATTTTCTGAACATTATATTATGTAATTAAGTTTACAGGGCCATTCTTATTTAATGGTGAATTTTGGATTACTGTATAAATAAAATATTTTTAATTTCTTATTTTTAATCTTAATATTATTATATATCTCTTTAAAAATTAGAAAGGAAAATACTAGCACTGGTAGTTTGCTTTAAATGACATTTTAATTATTTTGCAAATTTTTTCAATTGAACTTGGTAATAATCTCCCAAATCATTGCCATAATCATCAAACCTTTAAATAGCTTAGATTGCATCAATATAAGAAAATAGTGATCATCTCTATAACAAATTAAATTTATTGAATCTGAAATTGTTATTTCTGTTAAGTTGTCAATAGCATTTAGTATTTTTCAATTTATATTTAGTATTGTATTAGTATTCTCAATTTTTTTAAAATTTTTGTCGCTATTCATATCAGGAGTCTGGCTAGGTTTTTCTGAGAGGTACCTATTTTGTGAAAATTTAGACATAATTTGTGAAAAATTAAAAATTATTTTAAAAAATCAACACAGAAATATGGATTTATCGTTTCTTAAGGGATGCAAAAATAAAATTTTAAGAAAAAGTATTATCGAAAAAAGAAATGCTTTATGATATATGCCTAAAATAAATAAATATTTAACCTCCAGCAAAAGGGGTTGTGTAATAAATGGTTACTAACTACACCGAGAACTTTAAACATATTGATATTTTATTTAGTAAACTCAAATTTTTAAACAAATATTTGACACATGAAGACTATTTTATGCATTATATAATACAATTTTCAATATTTTGTTCTGAAGTTTAAGGGTTTAAATTAAAATCACTTAGAAAATTTAAATGTTCTTTACACTTTAAAGAAAAAATAAAGAATATCTTTTTTGAAAATGATTAATTTTTTGCCTAATTTCTGTGTAGATTAGCTTAAATAGGAATTTGAAGTATGGATTTAGATTTTATAAACATATATCTTTCTGATGATTTAAACAATTGATATCTTCCTCTTTTTTATTAAATTTTACTTCTGTTATTTTTTTTATGATGTCCCATTAGTCAATGATATTTAAATTAATCTTAATAATGTAATCTAGTTAATTTTTTATACTCTTTTAAAATCTAATAGTTAGATGCAAATACTTCTGATAAGTTTGAATTTTTTTTTTTTTTAATACTTTTGGATTTTTTAAAACAAATTATTTTTTTCTAAAGTACTACATATAAATGAATGTTTTTGAAAGAAATATGTATATATTTTTAAATATTCAAGAAAATCTTTTTTTAAAAAAAGTATTTGTTTTATTGTATTGATAGAGCTGCACTGATTTAAGTTCTTGATCAATAATTTCCTTGAATTTTTAAGATTTTGTATTATTTTTTTATTTTATTTATTCTACTCTTTTAATGTTTATATTTCAGTAATATTAAAATTATTAATTTCAGCTTGTAACACAAATAAAAGTCCATGGATTTGTATTCACTGTGGTGTTATAAATTGTGGAAGGTAATTAAAGTTTCTTTTAATCTCTATCTTTTTAAAACTTTAGATTTCATGTTATTAAACTTAAAATATTTACAAAAATGAATTTTAAGTTTGTATAAGGAAGAATTTTTGGCATCCAAAATTGTCATTGAACATAATAGGTATGTTTTACTGTCTAAAACTGTCAAAAATATTAAGTTATGGAAGTATCAATGTAATGCATTATTTTTATTCCATATTCTTTTACTGAAAATGCATAATAGTATCTTGTGTGATATTTTTCTTTTAAATGTTTTTGCAAGTAATCTAGCTCTATATTTCTAATTTGTATTATTGTTAATTTGTATTTTTTTTTATGATTCTCTTAAACGAATTAGTATTATTTCTTCATTTATATTTCTTTTTAGTACATATTTTATTTTTATTATCAGTTAAAGCCTATTACCAAAACTAATTAAGCATCATTGGCATCAATAATAATATGGCGATTGAATAATAGTGTGACGAGGTATGCTTCTTCTAAATCAATAAGTACTATTTATCCATTAATTTTGACTTTTAGTACATAACTTGTTCTTTTTTATTTCCATAGTAGTTATTACTAAAATTATTCAAGAATCACTGGCGTCAATAGCAGGGTTCATTGATTTAAATCAGCTTGATTTAAATCACGATTTAAATCATGATTAAAATCAAATGATTTTTTTAAAAAAATCATTGATTTAAATCAACTGATTTTTATATATATATTATATCGATTTTAAAAGTTAAAAAACAGTGCTTTAAATTATTGATACTTTTATTATTTTCTTTTCTTAGTTTTAAAATTTATTTTAAATAAATTGCTGCATTAATTAATTTTAGTTAACGAAATTACTTTCTTTCTTGGAGTGTGTTAAACACATTTAAAATTACATGTTTAAAAATCTTTTGATTCTTAACATTGAAAGTACAGATTAAAGTAAATATTTAATGCTGTCTTAATATAGACTTGCATAGCTGTAGAAAGTAAATAAACATGCTTTTTTTTCAAAAAGCAAATGTTAATTAAAATTCTACCTTTTGATTAAAAAAGCATGAAATTTAAATCTACATTATAGTTTATCGATGGAAATTTCTATATTTCTAAAGCTTGAGGTTATATTAAAAAAAAATTACCTTAATATGCCAAAAAAAGAAAAAAAAAAAAGCTGAGTTCAGATATTTTTTTCCTGATATAGTGTCATTCTTCCCTATCAAAGTCTATTTGAAGCAGTAGGGTTATTAACTGGTTTTTATTTTTCTTCTCATAATATGTTTACGGTATCTTTGAAATTATCAGATTTTCTTTTGTGAAAAAAAAATTCCAATGAGTACATTGATTTTTTTAAAAATGTTTTTTAGCTTAACTTATGTATTTTGATAAAGGATTAAAAATGAATATTTTAACATAAAACTATATAGATTGAATATTTATTATTTGATGAATAACAACATTTATAAACACAATCTGTTGCATTTATTTTGCCATTTTATAAATCATGAGGGAAAAAAAGAGATCACAATTTTAAATTAAAATTATGCTGTGATAATTGAAACTTTGTGTTATTAGTTAAAGTAGCATTCTTTAAATTATCAATTTTATCTTGTCTTTTAATTTCAATCATGCCTTTGTATCAAAATGGTCGTTATGCATTATAATGAAAAATAATTTTAGTAAGTTAGAGCTTCTAAAATATTGTTATAATATAGTTTTAATATTAATTTAATTTTGATTAAACATTTATAAAGTTTTTTTGATCATAAATTAAAGCTCTTATAGTGTATTTAAATAAAAATCAAAAAAATCTGATTTAAATCAAAAAAATCCGATTTAAATCATAATAATCCGATTTTTTTTAAAAAAATCAAAAAAATCACGAACCCTGGTCAATAGTGTGGCGATTTTTAATGTTTCTCAAAGATGAATTAATACTATTTCTCAAACAATTTTACTTTTCAGCTTATACCTTATCTTTTATTATTCTTATTTACTGTTGATTTTAAATACTACTTTATTTTAAAGAAATGCGTTTAAGCACATTACTATAAACAAAAGATGATTGATTTTAGTTACTTTAGAAATATAGTCGCTTAGTCCACTTAGATTTTGCTAGAGTAACTAATCAAACTATTTAAAAATTAATTAAACAGTACCATGAATTTCTTTTTTGATTAATGTCAGCTATACTACACTAGGTAGCTATACTAAGCTAGCAGACATCAATCATGTTACCTTTTGAACAATTTTTAGAATGAGAGACTGATTGTTCCTTACACTCACTATCCTAACTTCGAGGTGTTAGCCCAAATGGTTCTGAAGTTATTAGAAAATATGTGCATATGCACAGACTAACTCTTCATTTTGTTATTATAGATTCTCTAAAAGGGCACGAAAAATCTTCAGTGATAGTTTTGTTATTGAATCCTTTCTTCATGTGCCACTTTTTAATATAGAACAACTGATTTTTTAGGCAGGAAAAACACTAATAAGTAGCAAAAAAGAATTTTTCCAGTTTATGTTATTGTCTAGTATCTGATAACACTGTGGTAATTATAAGAAATAATTGTTATTATTTTCTCTTGATTCTACCTGTATTTTATAATCCAAATTTGAAAACTATTTTTATGTTAAAAAATTATTTTTTAATGCTTAGGTACGTTAATGGACATGCCAAAGCCCATTTTGAAGAAGACAATAATCACATGATTTGCATGGACTGTGAAAATTATTCTGCTTATTGGTAATTATTTTTAGTATCTGTTTATTGGCTGTATTATAAATTTCAAGACTGTTAAAGTATTTGTTCAATTAAGGTTTGCTGATTGTTGGAAAATAATTGATTGATCTTTCTTGAAAGGTTTTTATTCTCTATATATTTAGGTTTTGAATGTTCATATAGTATTGAAAGTATTAAAAATGTATATGGTGAAACTTATAAACAGTTAAACTTATCTTTCTGGGTCAATTTCTTTTTTGTATATTAGTTTCGAGCTATTACAAGTACATTAGTTACAATTAAGCTGCAATAGTATTTATAGAATTTTTATTCTCATTCTTTTTTTATTTTAGCTATATATGTGATGATTTCTTAGTCAATGACTGCAAGGAACTTAATTTTCTTCGAGAGCTATTGCAATCAACTAATGAGTAAGTATGTTTTTTAGAAGATTTCTTACAGTACAAGATTTCATGGATATGAATTATGAAACATTTTTTTAAATATATCATACTATTTTATTAAAAAAATGAGTACATTTATATCGTTTCTGTTACAATCATCCTTTATTTTTATTTTTAAAGGAAATAATTAACTCAAGGTAAGACCATCCAAAAAAACTTTAGAGATTTTTCAATAATTTGTTTTATTATGCAAAAATGCAAGTTACTACCATTTATTTGAATGTCACTTTAATAGTGTTTTATTATAATACTATTTTTGTGCAGATTTGCCTAGTTTTAAAAATCATGTGCCATAGCAATGCTTTCCGCCGAACATTTTTATCTGTTATTATTTTTTTTAATGCTAATTATCTTTGATGAGATCTCATAAAATTATTAACCCTAACTTTCACGATTATTTCAATTTTTATTATGTGATTTCTAAAAATTTCAAAAATGGGATTAGAGGAATTTTTTTTGCCTACATTCACCAACTAAATATTTATAAATGCAAATTTTACTTATACATAATGTCAATGATACACAACTAAGACTATTTCACTTTCTTTTTGTAATTACTTTTCTTCTGTAATTTTTTTACATCAATGAGATTCTAAATAATGTTATGATAGTTAAACAAACTAACTTTTAAAATTCTGCTACTGGGTTTTATGTAATTCATAAAATTTCTTTTCAAAGTTCAACACAAATTTTTTTTTAAATTGGCAATAATTTTATTTTGTTTATATAGTTTTTGTTTATTACAATGCTTGGTAGAAACTCTTAAGCTATTAATTAAGCATGAAGTTATATGGGAATGGTCCATCTTCAATAGAAACAGCTTTTAGTAATATCCATATACTGATATTCTTTGCAGGGGAGAAAGCAATAAATCAGTCAAGCGACAAGTTTTGATTGTTGAAGAAGAAGAAAATAAAAGATGTAAAAGATATAAAAAAGTTAGTATTGATTGATTAAAGTGTACTAAAATTTTGTGTTATGAAAATATATTTGGCTACATAGCATCTTTAATATATATATGTTTTTACCTATTATAACTTGAATTGAATTTATTTGAATTGTTCGATGAAATATGTGATTTATAAACACCATTTTAAACAGAAGAATTAAATGATTATCATCATTGACATCATTTTCAACTTAAATTCATCTTGAAACCATCATTGCATTTTGGTAAATTTGCTAATTCTCCAATTTCTTCTTAACTGTCATGACACAACATAATAATAGTGTGTTATGTGTTAAAAAAAAATTGTTTTTTATTATTCTTTAATAAATTTCTGAAAGAAAACAAAAAAGTGATAACTGTTGAACTGTAAGATTTTAATGCTGCTAATTTAAGAACTACATTTACAGTTGATGCTAAATATAAACTATTCTGAACGTCCAATCAAAAATAGATATTATAACAGGAGGTCGCCATAACCTAAGTGTGCAAAAATAATGCAAGCATGTGCTTCCTACTTAAAAAGCTTGGCATATTTTAACTAAATGATGTAAATATCTTTTTTTTAAAAAAAAAATTGTCAGATTTTTGAACAATTAAAGAAAACATTTTTCATATGATTTTTGTCAGATTTTGAACTTAAATATCACAGTCCTATTTTAAATATGAACTAGAATTTAATGGGAATTTGTACAGAAAATAAAATAGATTATTATGGATTGAAATAAATGTGGTATTTATTTGAAATTCTTGATGAGTATGTTAAGTTTATGTGAACAGCTGAAATTTATTTCTGTTATGATTGTTAACTATATATATATTGTATTTTGTATTTTAAAGGGAATAAAAAAGAAAGGTTATTGTAAAGCTAGAGTATCTGGACTTAGAAATTTAGGAAATACTTGCTTTATGAATGCAGTTTTACAGTCTTTGAGGTACATTATTACTTTTTTATTTTATAGTATTTTAAGTATTACATAGATTAATATTGTAAATATATTAATTTTATATTAATGAGAATTTTTTTCCCCTCAGCAATATCAAGCAGTTTTCTTGTTACTTCAAAGAACTACCGTCATTAGAACACAAAAATCACAAAAACGGAAAGAAAAATAATCATATCAAAAGTAATAGCAATGGAAATGATGTGTAAGTTATTTTAATGTAAATACTTATTAATTTTTGTTTCACCACATTTGATAATTTGAGAACAGTGAATACTATTCACCAAAAATAAGATTAACATAGATTAAAAATATAGATTTGTGTCAATTTCAGAAATTTCTAACACTATGACACATGTCACGTACAGCAAAAAAAAATTCAAAATTCACAAGATACATATGTATTGAAATTTTAGTAATTTTCTTTTTATTTATTCTTTAAAAATCTTCAAATGAAAAGTGAGTGAATATTTTATTTTATTATCTGTTAGTTATCAAGAATAAATTTTGGAACTTTATTAATTTAATAAGTCTTATTATTGTACTCAGTATATGTGATGGTCATAGGAATTATTGTATGTAGATGAATTGTTTCTTATTTATTTAAATTTGAGGCAAGCAAAAAATAATCTCTTTCAATTGCTTATTGCTGTTATAATGTTCAAAGGAAAACTAATTCTATAATAAAAAATAAGTAAGTTGATAAATCTGTGGTATATTTCAAGAGTTTTGATAGTGATATATAATGATATTTATTTTGAGAAATAAAATTTTTTTATTCATTGTTCGCCAGTTTGTTTTTATTTATTGATAATTTTTAAAAAAAAATTTGATCATGGAATTATCTTTCTAATAGATTATTGGCAGAAGAATTACGAAAAACTCTTATTTCACTACGACAGGGTAGCAAAAGTGCTATATCTCCTGAATCCTTGTTTGCTGTAATTTGGAAAGTAGTTCCTCGATTCCGGTAAGTATTTTCTTTGGAATTTTTTTTTCACTTGGAAATTAAATCTACTTTCTTAAAAAAACCTAATTAGTCTTGGAAATAAAATAAGGAATTAATTATTTATTCAATTACTTTTTTAAATTAAGCTCAGTATTCTAATTATTTTGTGTTTTGATTGCTAGCAACTCTTTTTTTTCTTTGAATTATAACTTATAGGGCATTGAAATATTAATGCCCATTGCTTAAGTGTTAATATTTTCCACTTCTAAAATCAAATCTGTAATTTAGATTGTAATTATTAGTTACCATCCACCTTTAGCATCCATCTGGTCTGCCGTTTTAAATGTGTAAAATTTCTACTGGAAGGTTAAAATCATTCAGCAAAAAAATAAGCTAATTCATAAACAACACACATTCCACCTGTGAAAGAGATTTTCAATTCGCTTTTGTGTGTTAACACTTTTAACTCTTGCACATCATTAAGCATCTAAGTAGATTTGACACAAACGGTTATTGTAAAGTTTATGTTATAAGGATTTTATTACACAGTATTACATATTTTAGCATTTTAAACAAAAAAATTAATTTGCATAATTAGATTTTTGAAAGATACCGAAATAATTTCACACTTTTAAGTAAACCATGCATTTGTCTTCAACTAATGCTGTATTGGCAATTAAAACAATTAAAAACTTAGATATTAAAATATTTCTGTGTATTTTATTTTAATTATTAATTTATTTATTTTCCTTCTAGACAAAAAATTGTTAAGGTTTTAAAATTAATTGTGTAGGACTACAGGTTTTATTTTTGGGGATTTCCCATTTTCTTATTTTAGTTGTAGTTATTTTTTTCATATTCTGCAATTGAATGAAGAAATAAATTTGGATTATTATTGAGTTTATTTTACATTAGATAAATAGGTAATTAAAACTGAATAAATTTGCTTTAAATTCTTTGAGCATTTTGTTTCGAAAAGTCTTAACTCTATAGATTATCTCAATAACTGAAATTTTAATATTTCATTCTTAAAAAAAAAAATTTGAGCCGAACTTTTATGTTATTATTATTTTTATTGAATCTTGTTTTAAAACTTGTTGATTCACTGATATTTATAATTGTGGTTATTGTTCTAATCCAAAAGAATTTTTTTAGTGGTTACCAACAACAAGATGCTCATGAATTTTTAAGATACATGTTGGATCGACTCCACATGGAATTGCTGAACATACTACCTTATCCTAAAGATCAGAGTACCTTCTTCATTGGAGCTAAGGGAAAAGCAACAATTGTTACTACAATATTTGGTGGCATTTTGCAAAATGAAGTGACTTGTCTTGCTTGTGGTACAGAATCCAAAAAGCATGATCCTTTTTTAGGTATTTAATAACAATTACTTGATTTGATGAATAATTTTGAATTATGATTGAAATTTGAATTTATCTTAATTTTTTTCTTCTGGGGTAATGATGATATTTGTAACCATATTTTGGTGACTTTAAGTCAAAAAATCAGTAAGAAAACTTTTTTAAATCTTAAAATAATCACGAAGCTGTTCTTGCTTTTTTTTTTTTGTTGAATTACCATTTTTTCTAAGCATTATTTAAAAAAATTCCAACTCTTATAATTTGATTTTTCAGGAAAACATTTTGTTTTAGTTCAGTTGAAATGTTTGTTCCTGTTAAAAGTTGACATGTTTTTTGTTAACTTTTATTTAATTAAGAAAATATTTTGTTAGGAACTTATTAGTTATTTTTATTCTGGAAAAAAAAAATTATTAGCATTCATTATGAAGTTATAGACAATATTTTAAGGAAAATAAGTTTTCTGATTTATGTTGTTGGTAGTTAACTGTGTGGCATAAATTTATTCTCTTATTTATTTTGTAAGGTTAGCAATGCAAACTTTTATTATTTCAAAGTTTCAATTTTTCAATTCAATTTTTTAAAATGTCAATTTTCAGTAATTTTTTAATAGTTTCAAAATATTACTTAAATTAAAATTTGTGAGAACTTACTTCTTCAAAAAGCTTTGACTTTGGTTAAAGGTATACAATAGCTGTTAGATTTCAGGGTTCCCACTGTCCTTAAAAGTCCTTAAAAACTGCATAATTTTTATTTTGTTAAATAAGGGCCCTTAAAAGTACTTGATTTTGGTACAAGGTTCTTTAAAGTCCTTAATTTTTCTGCATCACTATTACTTCATAGGAACAATTTTTTCAGTCTTGCAAAAATATTTAAAAAAAAGTCATTTTTTACCACCTAAAATAAAACCACGCATTAACAGTAAAGCATTTTAGAGAGACAAACTTTTTGGCATTACTTAATATTTAGCATGATTGGCCCAAGACTGAATGTTATGCATGCCTAACAGCGAAATATCAAGACTTGTTTTAATAATTTTTTCAATGTGTTTCCCAAATTTCATTATTTACTATTTTTTTTTAAATGTATGGAAAGAAATGCAAATCTTAATTCCTGCACTTAATTTTACAGTTCAATTTCAGTGAAATAATTAAAAATGGAATGCGGTTTAGTTTCATAGATGTTGTTAACATTTAACAATCTGAGAATATTTCTTTTTAAAACCCAAGCCCGGTGTGCAGAAATTACCTGGTCCTACTTTGGTGAACCCTGTTAATTAATACAATTATATCAGTATAATAAAATTGTACACATTATAATAAAATTGTTTTGTATTATTTTTTTTATTAATTGATTTTTTTTAAAAGAAAAGTAAATAACTGTCACTGGTGATATATTCGATGATAATCATGCTATTTTTAAGGTCCTTAATTTTCTTAAAGAAGTTCTTAATTTTTTCAAAAAAGAGTCCTTAAAAGTCCTTAATTATTGCTTTGTTTAAAAAGTGGGAACCCTGGATTTGAATTCTTCATTCGGATTGCACTGACCACAGTGCTTGTGCAAAATATCCCTCTCGCTACACCGATCAGGGGCTAGTAGAGTATTTGCAATCAGGTTGACTGTGAGAAAGGTTTTTGTGGTTTTCCACTTTTTGCAATGCAAATATTAACTAGTTTCACTCACAAAGTCCTCTGCATTATTAAGTTTGTCTCAATGCTTGATCTAGGAGTTCCCTTGTCTTCTGGATTGCATTCAAAATTACAAGGTTACTAAAGTTAACGTTGATAACTACAAACATAAATGCTTCCTTTGTTCAATGCCTGTTATAAAATAAAATTAAGTCTCATATTTATTGATTAAGCATTGTTATAAAATTTAAGGGTGTACTCAGAAATTAGCACGTTGAAATAGGTAACAACAACTGCCGAAAAAAAAGAAAAGAATTAGAATTTTCATAAGAATTTTTAACCTCATTAAATATTCTGCATTTTTAGTAATTTCTTCTACAATTTTGTAGTTAATCTTCTGCTATTTTAAAAATTGGGGTTGGCAGATATGTCCATGGTTCCAGAGTTCTTAGAAGTCGGCAGGATGGTAAAATGGAATCTGCAGGATGGTAAAATGGAAATCATTGAGATTGTTAAAAAAATGTGTTTCTGAATTTAATGAAAGTTTGGTTTTGATTAAAGATTTAGTTTTGAATTAATAAAAGATAGAGATTTTAAATTTATGAAATTGTATGAAAAACTTTGCTATAGATTTTTATGTTACATTCCTATCTGTTTATTATATGCTGTTTTTTAGATCTCTCGCTAGACATTCCACCTACTGCACTAGGAAAACCATTATCCAATAAGCCAAAAGAAGAAGAACTACCTAGTCTTCAGTTGATTGGTTAGTCTCAATCATTATAATTGCTTTTTTTATATTTTTTAAAGAAGTATTATTTTTTTTTACATATTATATATAAGAGAAAAAAATTTCAAATGTGTTGTCCGATACCGTGAAAGCTGCAATCCTCTTGTTTCAATCTAAACACTTAGTTAATTTTGGTTTGAAAAATGATTGTGTAGATATGATGTGGTTTAATGTGATGTTTTTTTTTTTATAATTGTCTGAAGGTGATGCATATTACAAGAGAACAAGAAGAAAAAAAAGTATGCAGCAGTACCGAAATTTATTTTGGCTTTAATTCAAATAGCAGTGATGTATATAAAATAATTTTAAACTTGGTGAGGAAAAATCAAACTGATTTAACCCAACTCTAAGAATTAAAACTTTATCTTCTCTAACTAAAGCAAAAAAACATGAACTCAAATTTGATAATCCTTTTCTTGTTGTCGAAGGTAACATGCATAGAGGAAATGGAATAATTTGTCCCTTCCCCCGCCTCTAAACTTCAAGGTTAGAAAAAAACCAGTTTCCTCTACTCTCGCATGGAAAAAAGGAGCGTAAATAAGACAACTTTTCTTCCCCAGAATAACCTTATCTATACGACTTCAATGTAAATAACTGGAATTTTCCCACCTGATAAGCATTCTCATTCACTCTTCTCCCCTATCCCTACATTCAGTGCTTTGTTGTTTGAAATGAGAATTTGGGTTTTGATCTGAAGAGCATTTTTAAAAAAAAAATCGATTTAGTAAAATTTTCTCTTCTCACAAGTCCAGTTTTTAGAGTTTACCGAATTTTAGAAGTCTGTATTTTCAAAGTTATGTAAAGGAAACAAATTAAGCTTTTGATTTATTTAGTGTGGTTTTCTTTTTTAATTAGATTGAAACCATATGACTACTTTATTCTAAGTTAGTATTATTATTTGTAATAAATATTTTCAATTTTACATTCTTTTATAATTTTGGTCACTAAAATGATATTTATACTACATCTGTTAACATTTTGCTCATGTTTTTTGTGGAAAATGGCGGTGAGCTCATAAAATGCTATGGAACTGAAAATTTTTGCTCTGCATACATTCTCTCTCTTTTTTCTCTATATATATGTATAACATCAACTAAATATAAAAAATGACTCTGATAGCTAACTTCTGGATTGGGTTCGTTTAATTTTGCTTGAATTGAGAATATTGTTTTGCAGCTTGGCTGCTCCTCAAAGCCTTGCAAAAAAATTTTATTATTCTCTACCCAGAGGTCTGTCCAGGCCGAATTTACTACCGTTTAGCGATACCTTCACAAATTCAATTTTAGGAAAAACGGTAGTTTCACAAATTCAACTTTAGGAAAAACAATAGTTTCACAAAATACATTTTCTTAAAATTTTATTTTTGTATCCCTTAAGAAACGATAAATCCATATTTTTGTGTTGATTTTTTAATATAATTTTTAATTGTTCTCAAATTATGTCAACATTTTCACAAAATAGGTACCTCTCAGAAAAACCTAGACAGACCCCTGCTACCATTGATTAGAGCGTTTAGATCTTTCACTTGCTTTGTAACAAATTTTTTATGCCTCTGCATTAGATGTTTTACGAATTTTTACTTCATCAACTGCTTTTGGCACATTTATATTGAGTCTGCTTTTGTCACATGCCAAAAAGAGAGTCAACTATTGCAACCCTTTTAAATTTAAAGTTCATTTGTTTTATAATCATTTTTAACAACCCTAGACATGCATTTCATAAATAAAAAAGGAAAGCAGATCTATATCAAATATTATCCTACAGGTCAGGCAACAGTTATGTTATCAGTCTGTACCAAATTTCGTAAAAATATAGTAATATATAAGCACATTGTAGTTACTCACCTATAAAACTTTTATCTGAAATCTTGTCTTCAAGTTATACCAATTATACCTTAAAATTATTCAAATAATACCTTAAAACTTTACAAAAAATACCTTAAAATTATACAAATCTTTAATCATTGTTTTTGCAGATACATTACAATATAAAATTGACTCCACAGTCATATGAAATCTTTTCTCATACAGCAAATTTGTTAGCATTCCTGGGCTCTATTCAAATCAAAACACCTCTAATTAAAAATGGCATTCTCGTACTTTGCCTATGTATTGCACATCACCTGAAAATAGATTTAAACTTAAATTATCCATGCAGTGTTGATAGATTGAAAAAAATATTTAACTTGAAAAATAATTAGTGTAGTTGGTTTCTGGACAAATTTGTACCGAATAATCAAACTTAAAATAAATATTACATTACACTTATCTACTCTCACAAGTACAATTTAAATCCCTCATGGACAGTTATTACTACAGTACTAAAAAATTCTTCGATAAAAAAAATTTTGAAAACTGAAAATTTAAGTTGATTTTTTTAAATGTGAATTTCAATGTTAACATCTATCTTGATGTTACGTTTCAAAGCTGAGACTCGCTCAAGGCTTACATATGGAATATTTGTTTAATTTAAGAAGTTTTTGTTTAATTAAATTAAGAATAAGTTGATTAAATATTTCACTTACCTGTTAATCAAAATTGTAATGGTTTATTCCAGCATTTTTAAATTTTTTGATATCCTTATGAAATTAAATCAATTGTTGATTTTTCTAAAAACTAATTAAAGAAAATGAACACTAAAAGGCTTATTTTTTTAATACTCCCGGGTTTGCTTTAATTCTTGTTATATATTTAAGAATAATATTCTTATATATTCGTAAATTTTTTTTTCAGACTGTCTGAGTAGTTTTACTGAACTTGAAGAATTAGCTGATAGTGAATTGTACCTTTGCCACTCTTGTAAAATTAAACAAAGATCAACTAAAAGATTTTGGATCCGCCGCCTACCAAATGTAAAGTTAACTTTTTCCTTATTATATTATTTTCATGAATATAGTATCACTAACACCATTCTATAGTGCTGAGAGTTTTAATAATTATTGTATTTTTAGTTGGGATACTAAGATACAGTAGTTTCTTTAGTATGCAGAATTGCCAACTTTTTCTGCTTCACAGACAATATTTTCTAGCATTAATAAAATTATTGTTTAATTTATGATTTTATAAATTTAATTTAATGTGAATAGCTTTAGAAGTACTTTCAAATTACTCAAATGTACAGATGCCACTTTGTGCAAGTTATCTCATGGTGTGGCCCTTAAAATGTTGGCGAATTTGAAATGAAATCCTGCAATCTGTAGTTTTAGGATCTCTACCACTTTATAAAGTCTTTTGCAGGAAGTGGAATAGTTGGCATCTCTAAGTTTGTAGTACTTGAAAGCTTTTGCAATTCTTTCTGATTTAGAATAATTTTTGAATATGATAATGTATATATCATATTAATAACAGTATATTAATAATAGTGTATATCATCACTAAAATATTTAATACACTAATTTGATGTAATCTTATTTTTCTAATTCATTTTTCATCATGTACTACAATACCAGCTTTTATTATTTTTATTTTAACACATCAGCTATTAACAAAGATTTTCTGTATTTTTTAGAAATTCATTTGTTTGTATAAAAAAAATTGTGGCAAAATAGTAGCAAGAACATTTGTTCCAATGGTGATATTTACACAAAAATGTTCTTTAGTGTGTTTTTTCCAAATGCATAATTTACAAATTTTTAGAATTTCCATTAAAGATCTGCTCAATACTGAAAAACATCTTGTTGTGTTCTTGAAAATCATGGTGGTTCCATAAAAATGTTTTTAATATTTTATTTAACTAAAATTGTTTCTCTTTTTGTTTTGTTCTAAATTTTATTTTGAATTTCTTTACAGGTATTATGTTTACATCTCAAACGCTTTAGGTGGAACAATTTCTTTAGAACAAAAATAGACAATTACATTAATTTTCCAATTCAAGGCCTTGATATGAATAAATTCATTCTGGTTAATAGGGTAAGAAATACATTATTTTTTATTTTCCCTCTCTTTTTCAGACTTTTATAATTTATTATTTTCATAAACTTTCTTATATGTATTGATGTCATTTTAAAAAATCTATTTTATTTTAGTTTTGGAATAATGTAGAATATAAGTCAATTTTTGGCAGTTTGGTTCCAAGTAATATTTAAAAGAAAAGTAATAGTTCATACTTTAAAAGTAGAATTTTGCAATATTTGACATATCTCAGCATGATTTTTTCTTTTCTGTTTCTCATAATGATATTACTGTAATATGCTTTTCCTTCTATTGTGATATACTTTTGGTATTAAAAAATTTCAGTTGTAAGAAAAATAAAGATATGTAAATAGGTCCATATTTCTGAAATTCTTTTTATTTTATGAAGATAGTCGAACTGTTTTGAAAAAATAGGAAAAGAAACTAAATAATGTGTACAAATAATTCATCATTTATCTAACTGTCTCTTTTTACTGACTGTGTATTAATGCACATATTTTTATGTAAAGATAGATATGTTGTACAATGTATTAAAAAAATGCACCAGCCATTAAAACCTTTCTTTTTTTCTGATACGTATTTTGGTTATGATACACTGAATACATTTATGCTTATGTGATAGTTCAAATGTATTGTATGTGTATTACGAATTTATAATTCAAATTATTTAAGTAAAGGCAATAAAAAAAAAATCTTACCTTTTGGACAATTGCTTTCAATTAGCACTGTAATTTGTTGAATCAAAGATGAATAATTTGAAATCTTGAGGAGTATACATTGAAATAAGTTTAAATATGAAGGATAAATTGTGAAACAGTTATTGCATATTTTTTTTAAGAACTGGTACAAGCATACCAGTGTGCATCAGTAGAATCTTATCAGTGTCCATTACTTAGTTACACTGTTATTGTCAACTGTTAGATTTTTCAACATAGATTTCTATTTATGGTAGCTCAATTTATTCTGTATTTTAGCATGAAACTAGAGGAACTTCAAGTGGTAGTACACTATATGATTTAGCTGCTGTGATAGTCCATCATGGAACAGGGTAATTTATTCTAAGTTTTCTGCTTCATTTTATTGTTCAATTTTATTAGTATTTTACTTTTGTGAAAACCTTGCTTTTTCTTATTTTTACTTCAAGTGTTTATTTTTATTACACTTTCTAAAAAATTCCTAATGATTTTTAAAAAAAATGTTGTTACAATACTGTTATCCACAGACCAATAAGTTTAGGGCTCAATCCTCACTGTTTTGAAAACACATATAATTCAAAAATAATAAATGTGTGATGAGGTAGTTGCACATGAATCAAATTCCTCATAATTATACTACTACATACCTGTGAACTTTTAATCCTTTCAAGGATGATTTTCCCCAGTGGTATTTAAATGGAATTTAAATTACAATTTTCGACAGAAACATTCGCTGTATTTAAATCAAGCTTATGCATTCCACAATAGTATTACATATTAATATATATGCTTAATTTTTTTAAAAATAGTGGTGGATCAAAAAGATTATAAATTAAGTTTCTAAATGCAAGGAATATATAGAAAGCATAAATTTTACTACTACTTAAATATAGAAATAAAATTTTACGCGAAATGCTTAAAAGTTGGCAGGTATGCTACTATATAATACAATACTATAATTTTGTTTAGTTGGAGTACAAATGGATAATTGTGTTGACCTGCAAACATATTTATTTCATTTTTGTGTAAACATTTATACTGCATAATTTTGTGAGCATATTCAATAAGTTATTATTCTAATAACATATTTGTTCTGTTTTGCGAACATTTTCGTTCTTCTGTTCTTATTGAATGAAGCCTAGTAAATAAACAGAGTTCATTTTAAAACTTTATCTGTTTTTGAATTAAAGCAAACTTTTATCCAGTTAGCTGGAAAAAAAAATCTTCAAAAAAAAAAACAAACAAAAAGAAAGAAAGATAAAAAAAAAAGCATGAATTATCCAAAGCATGCTGCAATTGGATAAGTTTTAAAATGTAGAACACAGATAATTTGCAACCATATTAACTTTTGTAAAAGGAAACGTTTATAATAAAAAAATTATGTTAATCAGGAAAACTAATATGAATTTACTTTTTTAACCATTTGTTCAAATATTGCCGATGATTGATATTATTCATTATTGAAATATTCTTCCAAAATTTTATTTTTAAATGATGGCAGTTATGATATCAACTATCACATTATATCAACTGTATTATGATATCAATTATCATATTATATCAATTGTTTAATTTTATCAACTGTAAACATTTATAGTAATTTTAAAATGTTTACTATTAAAACATTTCTCCCTTAAATGATGAAAAATTGATGTAAAAAATGTGCACGATAGAGCTTAAAATTATTCGAAATTAATATTTCATACTCATTAACTTGTCTATAAGTTTCAAAGTCTCCTAAAAATGGCTACACGAAATAAGTGTTCACTTTGGTAAAAAAGTGCCTTAATAGATGATGAACAATAGACATATAAACGAAATTATCAAAACAATTTGCTTCATTAAAAATTTTTTTTTTAAATTTTCTTCCTGTGTCCGTATTTATAATAACTCTCAAGACTTAGTACATGTCACATGCATTTTGTAAGTCAGATAATTGAGATGTATGCAGTTTATATCACAGAGATAAAGGTGTTATTATAAATCCATAATGAGTTGTGAATTGTTTCCAATTAAATAATATATATATATATTAATTTATGACATTTTGTTTACTAAAAAAAATTCTGGTTGGTTTTTTGGCTTTGGTTTTATTGTCTATTCAATTAAAAGTATTTTGTTTGGCTGCTATTAATTTTTTTCGCAATAATAAATTCACTTTCAGTAACTCTCTTAAAAATTATAACGGAATATTAATCTGTAAATTTCTTACTGCTTTAAGTTTCTTGTAGTAAGGTATAAAACTTGTTCAGAAACATGCATAATTTTTATTTTATTTCATAAAAATATTTTCAAACTATATATTTTTTTCCTTTTTGTTAATTGTTTTAATATTGTATAGTGATAATGTAAATGTTAATCGATATTTATAAAATATTGTTTTTCTAGTGCCGGTTCTGGTCATTATACTGCATATGCTACTCATGATGGTAATAATGTTTTCATTTTTAAACAATTTAAATTTTTTCTTTATTGAAATACTTTCCCAATTTTAACTTTTATTTAAGATTTTTTCTACTGTCATTGGAGTACATTTTTTTTATTTAAAATGTTAAAACTTTATAACTCGTTATAAATTTCTTTCAAGCTAATATCTGTAGATATTAATATGATGTAATAGTTTTTATTAGTTGTTTATAAATGTTTTTAATATTAATTAAAATTATATGAAATATTAATTGTTATTAAAAATTATCTGCATGAATGTTCTTAAATGTTCAGGTTAATATATATACGTATATACCTTTCGAAGTCTCCTGTTTTTTAACGGAAATTCCTGTATTTTACAATTATCTCCTCTTTACCTGTATATTCTCAAATTTCTTTGTATTTACAGAAATTTAAAAAAAAAAAAAAATTGACAATAAAATATCCGCTAATGGCAAAAATACTTCTCTTATTCCTAAACAGATGGTGATATTGCCAGTAATGCAGTATGCTGAGTGTTTGTAGCTTAAGTAATAAAATAATAATTTAAAAACAATTTTTTTGATTCAGATTTATATACATATTTTTTACTTCACTTAATGTAAGTGCTTTTATTATTTCCAATTTTGACTTACATGATTATGCATGATGTATCAAAACTTTAGTCATAGTCCAAAAAATTTCGATAGTAAAATCTTTGTTATTTTATTTCTTTAATGTTAATATTGGCAGGTATATATAAATATAATTTTTTTCATCTAAATTTCATCATAATTTTTGCTTGCTATTTGGTAATCGGAAGTAATTTTTTACAGGGTGTTGGCATCATTTCAATGATAGTTCAGTCACAGTGACTGATGAAAAAACTGTTGCTAGTTGCAAAGCTTATATTCTTTTCTACATTCGCAGAGAGGTGAATTTGACACCTTTTAGTGTATAAAACCATCCTAAATGTATTTATATCAAGTCTCAGTATCGACACTGATAAATTACAGTTAAGTGAAAGAAAAAAAGGTGATATGGACTTGTTCGAGTTTCCTGATGATGCTTCTGAATGTTTTGTTTTAGGGCCCAAGTTACTGCATTTATTTTCTTAATATAAGTATGAATATACTGCTAATAGCTTTCAAGTTCGGTTTTTATGTTTCATGCAATCATTTGCTTGTGAGTATATTGGGTTCTGTTTTTAGGGAATAATAAGAATTAATAACAATTTGCACTTCCTTCCAATGCTAAGAATATATGAATTATAGTCATAATATGATATACTATAAATTATGGCCATAAGCAAATGGATTGTGGTGAATAGATTTGGCTTATAATCATAAAATTTGTCATGTCAGAGTGGATACTGTAGCTATTCATGTATATATCTGTGATTACGAAATGGTTATCTGCCAATTCAAATCCTGCTCAGTTTTACTGTTATTTTAGTTCAGTTTTGCTGCTATAATTAAATACAATACTTGCCGCTTATAAAAATCACATTCGTTCAGAGGACATTTGATTTCTTTAGACAAATGATTTTATTAACTGAAAAAAAGGTAATTAAAAGATAATTTTGAAGCCTTTTTTTATTTTAATTAGAAATTAATGACTATATTTCATTTTGACTGTTTTTTCTATATATTATTATTGAGCATGAGCTGCAGTTTTAAATTTACAGAAAGATTTTAAAATACTGGTGAATTATTGTTTGAAATAAAATGTGTCGCATTGTTTAAAACTCTCTGAAAGGTTTTTCGATAATACCACTATAGTGAAGTGTAAATTCAAATAAATTTCGGAAATATTCTTGATTCTCATATCTTGCTTTTTACAGATTTGATTTTGAAAAGTGGCTGATTTTATAGCAGTGATTTTAGTAGTGGTGGTCACTGTACTTAGATTATTTAGAAAAATATTTTTAAGCAAGCTTTTTTAATGTTTTATTTTGCCAATGATAAAACAACTAACTTTGATTTACTTTTTTTCAGAAAATATTAAATCAATGTTTTTATTTCATTGGTTATAGGAATAAAATATGTGCATTTTAACTCAGGCATTTTATTTATATTAATATGTTGAAAATTTTGAAATGAAAAATTAATGTTTTTTTGGTAAAAACTGTCTTTAAAAGTAAATAAAAAATCAATGTCTGAAAAATGTTGGTTATAGGAATAAAATATGTGCATTTTAACTCAGGCATTTTATTTATATTAATATATTGAAAATTTTGAAATGAAAAATTAATGTTTTTTTTGGTAAAAAGTGTCTTTAAAAGTAAATAAAAAATCAATGTCTGAAGAATTTCAAAAAGCCCTTTTTTGGAATACACACCTAAATTACAAGAAGAAAAAAAAAGTCTAAAATTATTGTTGAAATGTTTTTTTTTTTTTGTGAGATATGAGAAATGATACATCTAAATTTACCATTTTAGCTTCCGAATTCTTTCAAATAATGATTTAAGCAGAAACACAATATTTTAAATTTCACTCATTTTATAAATTTTAAAAAGAAATATCTTTTTGTTTGTACTTTATTTTTGTTATCTTGTTAACTTTTTTGTCTACTGTGTTAGTCTTTAATTATTGTTTTGAAATCCTAGATGAAATTGACTGAACGAATTTTTAATAATTAAAAATAGTTTATATTGTAGTAGAATATTTTTTGTCAAAAATTTAGTGGAAAGTTTCATTGAACGAAGATGATGAAATCAATATAAAAATTGCATTATGAACCCGAAGAATTTTTTTTATTTAAAATGAATGGAAAATAGATGTGATAGTTATTTACAGAATGTTTTTTAATCAGTTAATCTGTGAATTTAAATATTTTCAGAATTTAAAAAAATACACTTTAATCATCTATAGTAACATATTTTCAATACAATTTTTCCTTATTGCATTTAGTTGAAAGTAATAATAGACTAAAAGAAATTCTTTTAATCATTATTGTTCTGTTTGATGGCAAAATTTGCATGAGGAATCTTTTTTTAAGTTTTTAAAGTTAGTTTAACATGAACAGTTATAGCTTGTCGATCGCTAAAAGATTTAAATTTCATGATCATAATTTCATTGTTTTTAATCATACAAGTTATTGTTGAATTATTATTGTATATAATTGATTTGTTATATTTTGTGTGTTTCCATTATGTGTACAAATTTGTGATTGTAGTTTTATACATGGCACAACCTGAGTGAATTTATTCTTAAATATATTTGTTTTCCCACTCTTGTTTGACATATCTTGTACAGTCCCATATTGCTACATTTAAAGACTATTTCAAAATCTCAGCTAGCTGAATTTGTTCAATCAAATTCAAATTAACGTGTTGAATTAAATTTAAAAAAAAAATTATTCATGGATTACAGAATAAAATACCTTTAGCTTTGAATAAAATATAAATATTAAGAATTTTTATTTATTACACCTGTATATATAAACTATTTTAGAATAAACAATAGTTCATGAATTTTACTACAGTTACCTTGAATTGTATTACTTTATGGTTCCTACCTATATAAAAGTCATTTTTTATTGTTCCATTTATGCCCAAATATTTAAAGTATAATTCTAATTTTATTTGTAAAGCTTCTTAACCCAAATAAGTATTAGTACATTTGAAAATTCAAAGTATATGTCATTGTTATTTGTTCAATGTTCTGCATATGGAACATATACTAAAGAGTCCTAGCTTCCCTAATATGGACATGTCTAATGCAAGACTTGATATTACTAGCTTTTGAAAATGATCTGTTTGCAATATCATTAACCATTGTTACTGTACATTAAAATTATTTCATATTTATAAAACTTTAATTTAGATGGAAATTGGCAAAACGTAATAAGACTTACTCAAAAGGCAGATTTAACAAATATTAAGATTTTAAACAAGTATTCGGTTATGCAGTGTTGCACAACCTTACATACTCTATTTCTTCATTACATACTATTCTCCCTATTATTACATACTCTTTTTTTATCGGGTCTTTATTGTGCTACTATGTTTTCTTATGCACACTTTTTATGATTGATTATGATGTTTAATATATATTTCCTGTGGAAAATATTTTGTTTAATATCTCTTAGACTTTGTTAGCATAATCAATTAATTTTTATAATTAATAATTTAACATATTAATTCTTGGTGCAGCAGCCCCTATGACATCTAAATTAGGAATTTGACCAAACATATTTTTTGTTTCTTAAATTCATATCGTGACTTATGGTATTTTCGTTTTGGGTATTTCAGTATTAGAAAATTTAATTCCATTAAATAATATGAGAAAAAAAGTTTTTCATTTTTGAGGCAGCATTGTTGACTATTTTTATAGCTTTGCTGGTTTCCATAAAAGTAGCTCTGGAAATAAATTTTATGTAGTATCAAAATCAAATGTGTAGTCTGATTCTGTGTTAGTTATTGAAATAGTTCATTTCAATACTTTAATGCTATAAATTTTATCCATTGGGCATAAATGTTTTTTTAAAAAAAAAAAATGAGTTTATCAAATTAAATTCCCATAATTTAGTATGGAAAGATGAATGATTTGTTTGCTATTGTCAAGTTGTATTGCACATAAATGGTGTAATTATGTCTTGTCATTTTTTGAATGTGTGTATAAGTGGAATTGTAAAAATAAGCAAACATAAAAAATAAACTATTTTTTCTGCACATTTGTAGTACATAGTTTTTTCTTATGCTGCTGCTTTAGAATTGCATATATTACTCAGTTAATTCAAAGCATCACACAATTCGATCTTTAATGCTTCCATTTCTGAATCTTCATTGCTTACTGCTACTTTGTCTTCCATTGTTTTGTACAAAGGAAAAAAAAATGCTAAATTTTCCTTATCATTAAATTACATTCCTTAAAAAAAATCAATTTTAAAATGTACTCAAACTTTTTCAATAAGTTATTACTGTTTCTCTAGAAATCTTTGATGCTTCCGTTTCTGAATTGTCATCGCCTACTGCTACTTTGTGTTCTATTGTTTTGTACAAAGATAAGACAGCTACATTTTCATAAACTATTTAAAAAAAAGAAAATCAATCTTAAAATATACTCAGAATTTTTGCAGTAAGTTATTACAGTTTCTCTAGAAAGCTTTAATATTTCCGTTTCTAAATCTTCATCGCTTACTGCCACTTTGTCTTCCATTGTACAAAGAAAAAAGGCTAAATTTTTATTAACATTAAACTTTCAAAATTAAATAAAATATCAATTTCAAAATATACTTAAAATTTAATAAAAAATTTCTTTAAGTATTTTGTTTCTCTAGAAGTCTTTAATGTCTTCCAAAAGTTTTAAGTGCTCATGCTAGGAACCTCTGCTCTAGACTTTCCACTAAAAATTAATTTGGTTGTAATAGGAAAATTGATATTTTTAATTAAGTTGCTACCACTTTCAAATTCTTATGCTGAATAATAAAATAAATGACATTAATTTGCAATCACAAGTAAAGTTAGCCAAGCCTTCTATGGAGCAATTCAGTTGGATCTGTGTTATGCATAATTAGAACAAGTGCCTATTCTCACTTTTAAGTATTTTAATTAGAAAAACTGATACAGTTATGTACCCTATTACACCTTAAATTGACTAAGTCCTAAGATAGAATTTTTACTAAAAATTTACAATTCTAATAAATATTTACTTACGGTCTAGTAACAATTCAAAAAATTAATTGTTTTATATTTATAAATCCAGCTATGTAAAATGTTATAATGAGAAGAAAATTTAAAATTAAGGAACAGCAAAAAGACAATAGAGTTGTAGAAAAAAATGAAGTAAAACTTCATTTTATCAAAATCTTAAGAGTTCAAAAAATTTTAAGTAAATCATATAATATAAAAAAGCATACGTCATGACTGTCACAATTTAAATCACATAAAAAATGTTTTCATTATTTATAAGAAATTTTATTATGCTATTCTTTTAAATTGTAATATTCAATTATATTGATGTTATTGAAATTCATAATAAAAAAGGCACTTAATTACAATTAGCATTTATTTTATTTCTCAATCAAAACACATAATGCATGCTTAATTTTTTTTATTAAACAGACAATAAATATTTCATAGATAAAAATAAATACCATAAAATATATTCCATTTTTCTAACTTTTTAATTATTATAAAATCATATAAATTTCTATTGATTTTTTAGCATTTTTCAAGGGCTTAACACATTAAGTTCTAATATTTGTGAAAAATGTTAGTAAAACATACCATCATTAAAATAATAGCAAGTTTCTTTGTTCTGTCTACAAATACAGCTATATGATTTTATATATACTTATTTTCATTACATTAAAAAAAATGTATGAAAATTCAAAGTGAATCAACAATAAAATGGAGAAATATAAATAAGTGTTAAAATGGCAAAAGTTGATAAATATATAGAGCCAAATATAACCAGACAAGTTAATTATATTGATGAATTGTAAATTTTTAAAATAATTAAATGTATAATGCATTTTCTTAAATCACACAAGTCAAAGTTTAAATTCATCTAAAGAAAGAAAGAAAAAACATTTAATACATGCATATTTAAAAAGTATGAATAAATAAAAAACAAAATTTTTCAAACTGCATAATAACCATCATCCATACAAAAAAATATAAATTAAATAAATAAAAATATATTTTTAAAATTTATATGTAAGAGATGTTTATAAAACTATATTAATAAAATTCACAGAAAAACATTTAGAAAAAGTTGTGAACTTAAATCTTTCAATAATTTTTTACTAAATTCCAAGAGATAGATACTTATAAATCTAAATATTTATAAAAAAATATATAATTATTTAAATAAAATACAGTTAATAACCATTATCCATGTAAAAAGTCATAGAAGTTTAATAAAAACATGCATTTAAAATAATCTGTAAAATCTAATTCCTGGAAAAATTGAGTAAGCTATAACAGACGATCACATACACTAAAAATTTATCAAAATATGTAATATTATGTAATGGCTGGATTTACTTCTCAACAATTTTTAAATTATCTTATAAATTTTATGTGAGTAATTCATAAAAGTAATTCTTATTATCAAAATAAGAGGAAACTTTATAGTTTAAGAAAATAATTAAAGGCATGCTTAAAAAAAAATCATACTGCAGAAATTATATATATATATAAAAAAAAAAAATTTATTAATTGATAAACTTGAAAGCTTTTTTTTATAATTTAAACTGAAAATTATGAAGGTGCATTTTTAAAAAAAAAAAATATTTTGAAATGACTTAAATTTATAAATAGACCTTCTCCCACTTCAAAAAAGACATACTAATAAAAATTTAACCAGTTGAGAATAATCCTAACAAAATAAATATTTCTAACAGTAATCAAAATGAAACCTATGAACACAGATAATTTCAACAGAGTATAATTATTTAAACAGTGAATTATTCTTTTAAATGGAATATGAATAAAATGGCAGTGTTCTCAAGAGATGGCCGCTTATTTTTACAAAAAGGGCAGGCAAGACAAACCGCCTTCTAAAAAAGCTTTGAGAAAACACTGTTCGAATGTTTGTAAACTTTAAAAATATGGAATATAATGAATATAAATAAAAAATAATTATGCAAGACATGTATGTGAGACCAGTTCTAAGATCAATCTCTACATAAATTCATGTAAAATTTTAAAATCTTTACGACACTTAAATTATTGGAATAGGTACTTAATAAACATTTATCACAGACAATAAAAATAAATACTACAAATTTCCTAAAAGATCATCACTATCATCATCCATAACTTGACTAAGTGTTGATTCAACGTTAGCTGGCATGATTGCATCAGGAAAAGATTTAGTTTTATTTACAGTATTCCTACTCCTCTTTTTGCTCGGCTTAACAGGCACAACAGAATCTTCTTCATCATCGAGAAAAGGAAGGGAACTTCTATTCATTGCTGTTGAAGGACCAGGCTCATTTAAATTAAGAAATTCGTTTGCATTTTCTTCTGAGGATTCACTTACTGAAGGTATTCTAGGTTTTTTAGAATTTAGCTTTTTGTTAGTTGAAGTTTTTGATGATCCAGGTAATTTACCACTTTTGATATCTTTTATTTTCTTCTTTTTTTCATTCAAGACAAGCACAAATTTCGAAAACAATTCTTTCTCTAAGTTTTCTTTAATATCAACAGCTTCAGACAACTGATGAATTGCCTTATCAGTTTGACTTTTGCATTCAACCAATTCAGCAGTAAGAGATTTAACTTTAGAATTTAAATTAAGAATTTCTTTAGCAAGGGAAATTAATACATTGTCGAATACAGATACATATTCCTGTTCCATCATTTCTATACAGCCAAGAATAATAGTAGTTTCTTCTTGGTCAACACTTGCCCACTTAAATTTGTAGTTAACACTGTCTTTTTGCAAAGAGTAATTAAAAGTACATTCATTTGAAGGTTCTTGAAAAAGAGCTTGCTTTGATTGCTCCATAAAATCACTAAAACTTAGACCTATACTTGCCGCTTGAGTTCTCAAAACTAAATCAGACGCTTGGCCAGTGTAGGATTTATTATGTTGGATATCTAAAATTTTGAGCTCCAGGTTTCTTTTAGGTTCATATTCAGACAATAGAAATACTTCTTCACCTTCAAGACATATTTTGTTTAAAGCCTTGTGAGAAAACATTTTGATAAGGAGGATGATAGCGATTTTTTACAAACTCATTATTAAAAGAAAACGCAAACTTAAATAAAAGTTAAAAATTGAAGTAATCAAACAATTTTTTCAGTTGCAAATATTTATTAAGAAAACTTATCTTCAGCCACTACTTTTTGTTTTGTTTATTGTTTAAGTGAGACGATTTTACATGTTTGATTTTGTACTGCTTAGGTTTTCTTTTAAAGTAGACAGTTAAGAAATTTTAATGTAACCGCATATCTGCACGGCTGTTGCTTGGCTGACCGCCTTTTT